GCTTCACTTAGAGCCATGTACTCAGCTTCTGTTGTTGATGTTGCAACGGTTCTCTGTTTACGTGATTCCCATGACACTGCTGAACCACACATTTGGAAAACATATCCTGTATAGGATCGTCTGTCCACCAGATTACCACCATGATCGGCATCAGCAAATCCGATTAGATCACCACTATTGTTATAGGTCAGTTTCCTATTTTTTATAGCCTTCAGGTACCGATGAACACGTTTCGCAGCTCTCCAATGTACCGAGATAAAACTTCTTCTATACAAACACTACAAATACCTATGTTTGCCGAAGTTACTTTTGTAGGGCAAAATGTTTTTAATTATCAATTCTGAAGATGGATCAAGGCATTTTATTTCACTCAGCAATTGGGGGTACCTAATTGCACCTCTTAAAATTTTAAATAATATAAATTGTTTCACATCTATCATTAAACGCTAACTATCGATCGTCAAAAAGTAGAAATTTGCAACTTTTTAGAAATCGTTAATTTTGACAGATGAAACGTTCGGATTTAGTAACGTTTCAGTAGCGTTTCGATCCAACGAAGTGTCAAAATTTTAGTGGAATAAGGGCCGACGATCGACTCAAGTATATGGACGTAGTTATGCAAACCAGCCACATGATGTCAGTTTTGAGAAAAATGGGTTTCTTGTTTTTAGTAATAATTGTTTGTAGAATATATTTTATTTTATTTATTTATCAAGAAATTTTGTGAATTTACAACATTTGAGTTTAATTGCAACACTTTTAGGCTTCTCTGCACATAATTCGATTTTGACAGATTTGTGGGTTGGTTCCGGTTTGCATAACTACATCTGTATAGTTCTATGTTCGATTGAGCGAGTAGAATACCGTTTACAGTTTCTGTTGATCGATAGTTAGCTAAACTAAAATAGAACCGGAACTGTATCGTTTGACGCCATTTTGACACCGAGTAGAATAGGAAAACCACTAAAAGTTGTAGTTTCGTTCGGTTTCGTTCCGTTTTCGATTCGATTTAAACAAAATTTATTTAGTAGAATTGGCCCCCAGCTCAGATTAGCAAAAGCTGAATTTGCATGTGTGTCATTTTTTTTATAATATACCTAAAGACATTTAGGTGCTTAATTTACGATAATTTAAAACACACTTATCTGAATGGCTTATCTCACATAATTTTTATGACATTAATGAATTCTATTTATAATAAATAACCAAATTTAATCTATAGAATTCCAATTAGAAATAATAAACTTTGTATGTTTTGCTTTATTATTACATTGAAGTAATAATAGTTGTATTTTGGTTTCTGATAAATTTATTTAAAATTTAAAATGAAATGAATCTGTATTTGTATTCGTAATGAAATTTTGTATTTATATTTTTTCATTGAATTTAATTGTATTTGTATAAATTATCGTATTTCCATTATAATTACTATTTTTAACTTTGCATGCTGCTCTATTGGCTAAACATGTTAAACTACTTTTCCATTTTTATAGGTATACGAACTTATTACCATGTTTAACAGCAAAATAAAGATGTTTATTTTTGTACAAAATCAGTTAAAAGTTTATAATTTTGGATGTACAGTTTTTTTCACACAATCAAATACAAATCGTAGTTGGTCACACGCTGTCGAAGTCTCTCCTTAAATTAGACATTTTATAAAAAAAAACTAGAATTTTTAAACCGGCGATACATTAAGAGGCACACAGCCGACATCTTTTTTTCTAGCGTAACCTTGAGTTGTATATAAATTGCAGACATCAAGGTGACCATATAGAGATACCTCGAATACTAGCAATGTGTAACGTATTAATTACACAAACTTAAATTATAGCATACAGTATTAATATACAGGTATGTACTTCAAATTCTAAATTAAATGTAAAGGCATTTGGTTAGAACATAAAACCCACATGCATCGTGTAAAAGATTTCTGTACCAAATGTCACTGGACTCACATTTAAAGAGTTTTTTTCACCAATAGAGCGTGACGAAATTATGTAACGAATATGATAGGACTTTTATTATTATACTAGCTATTTACCCGTGGCTTTGCCCGTGGAAATTATGGCCTACGTCACCCGCGTATGATGTAGTATTTTTTTCAAATCGGTCCAATCATTCCGAAGCCTCTTCAATGCAAACAAACAAACAATTAACTGATAACGATTCTATTGACTTTGAGTTTAGCCACGTTTATAAGGGGTCATTAACTGACTCCCAAATTCCAAGTCAGGTGCTAATCTAATGTAAATTGGACCGTAAATATGTTACCACGACTTCTGACTGAGTCTTACATGCCATGACTGACTTTTTACTTTTTATATAAATGTAAAATTAAAACGCCTTTTCATTATGTTTTTCATTGGGAGTTGTGGTAGCTTCGTTGTCTCAGATACTCCATAATACGGGAGCTTTAGCTACTCATCTTGGAATCTGAGCAATGTTTGTGATGTCTGTATTATTTATAAACAATTATTAAGTCATCGATTGTGAAAGATAATTGTTAAGAAAAGACATCAACGATATTTATTCCCAAAAAAGAAAATTAAAAGCTTTAAATATTTTGCTACTTATGTTTTAAATAAACTGCATCCATGTCAATTATTTAAATTTGGCGATCAAGGACTCTAATACATAAATGAAGACCACGTTAAATGAAGAATTAATTACCCAACTACCACAAATATAACAAACACAAAACATTGGTATGTTTTGAGTTCTGTGTCCAAATGACCCTAACGGAATATAAAAAAAACTGATGAGACAAAATGAGAACAGAGGATGGCCTGCTGCACTAAATACAGGGTCGAAATACTATTTTTTAGGGTTTCGTAATCCCAAAGGGTAAAACGGGACCCTATTACTAAGACTCCGATCCGTGTCTATCACCAGGCTGTATCTCGTGAACCGTTGCAGCTGGATAGTTGAAATTGGCTCCAGCCGACTTGTTTCTGTTCCTAAACTCGGATTACGTGACACCCATTTTCAATCTGTAAAATACATAAAAGAGAATTCGCGGCGAGAACTCAACTCAATTCCGGAAACAGCGTTTAAAAAAGGTTTTTATAATTTGATTATTCGTTGGCATAAGTGTATCGTTTTTAAAAGAGTATATTTTAAAGGTGATTAAATAAATTTGGATAAATAACAAACAGTTTGCCTATTATTGATCTTTTCCCGGTACCTTCTTGACAGAGTAGTATATTTCTGTTGCTGCTACAATAAAAAGAAACATATCTCCAAAAATGGAGTACGCATCAGTAAAACTTATCACAACAACATATTATCTGGTCTTTTGGATGAAACCCTTCACTTGTGAGTCCAATTCGCACTTGTCCGATTTTTAACGCGTAATCCGCAACATAGTTATTATCTAAATATCCATCTAAATAATTGAAGATTCATTTAATATAGCGTGCTCGTTAAACTACAGAATACATAATTAATTTTGTTGAGATTCAATTGTATTGAGTTGAAACCATTTATAACCTACATTATAATCCACAGATTAAACTCAATTAACTATATTTTCTTAAAAAAATATTTTGCATTTTTGCTTAAGACTATAATGTTTTAAATTGTCAAATAATTATATGAAAACAAAACAAATCAATAAAATTACTTCACGCGATAATAAATTCATATCAACCTACCTATATTTATTTCTGGAAAATTAAGCAAGTCCGCGAGTAATAAGTATCAGTCAGTTTATTATTTAAATGTATCTCTGTAACGAAAAAAGAGTTTATCGAAAGTAGAGGAATAAAGATGCGCTTGAAAGTTTTGTGAGGAAAACCACTTTGGACGTCATAGTCTCACAAAACTAAAAGTAAGTATGTAGCAATAATGAAAAAACGCGCAAACTGTTTACAAGTAATAACACAAAGTATAACTTACCAACACTTTTTTTAGCGCCTTCCTTAATCAGACATGATCGAATGACCTCCAAAATTGACAAAAATATTAATATCAACACTAAACATAAAATTACTGCAATCATTTTGCTAAAATTGTAAGCAAACTGAGAACGGCCGTTACATTTATCGGAGTTGACCGACCGTGCCGCGAGACCGTCAAACAATAACATGAGCAATATCAAGGTTCCTCTATGTAATGTGCATTGCCTTTGCCTTACGTATTACAATTACTAAAAACTGTACGATGCATACAGGCATCGTACATTTATTTGTTATCTGAAATTACAGTTAATAATGTATGGTCCTTTTACCTTAGTTCGTTATAACGTACCTACTCCAAGTTAACTAGTTTAGCATTACCTTGAGTATTTTAAGTCAGTTATTAATTAAAACAGTGTTTCTATCAATATCTTCATCATAATCAGTTGGTACACCATACCATACATCTTTATTGTCCTTCGAGCTGGATCACATACATTAACAACAAACCTTGTCTTGGAAAAAGTTTGAGAGAAACGATCTCACATTATCGCATACTTCCAGACAAACGATCGACTATTTGACTACGTTAGACGTGGAATTATTGGGTCACACATTCGCCGCGCCATATAACTCCGACCTCGCCTTGCTTCTCACCTTGCTATTTATTCCCGAAAATATAAGAAAACCTTTGAGAAAAACGGTTTAGGACGCCAAAGTAGTGGCTGTATTAAAAGTCCGTCAAAGAGACCCCTAAGGACGAGTCAGCACAGTGCTTTTCTCAGTGGTTCCACCGGATGCAGTGTTGTATAGATGTAAACGGACACTATATTGAAAAGATAATAAACATGTTTCTTTTTAGTTTTTCATTTTCCAAGAACTTTCAGTTTAATAAGAGATATCGAGATTCAGTATCTGTCGGCTTTCGAATCGATACTATAAGTTTTTTTTTGCAGTATTTGCTGTGGATTCTATGTACTCACTAAGCTCGTTCAGAAAATATGTAGCTAGACATCAAATTCAGACTCCAGAGCCGTAGAGTATTCTAGCAAATATTAGAATTATGTATTGAAATGGCTGTACATAATAGAGTACTTTGCTTTGTCAATACAGGGAAAACTATAATTTGACATCGTCAGCTGTTTGACATTGACACTTGAAATAATTGCTATATTTTACTAATTACTAATCTGTGGATTGTTTTTACTGAAAAAAAGTGATTTTTATCGTTACGACATTTATTCTTTACCTTCGGTTTATTAATTCAATTTCAATTAAAAAACATGGAAAAAGATCTTGACAAAGTTATAGAGGAGATCATGTCAACACCGAACGTCAATGGATGTTTAGTAGCTGATCATCAAGGTCTGTGCCTTGCAGCCATGGGATCAGCTCACGTTGACGCGGCGGGTGTCATTGTAGCTATATCAGACCAAGCGTGCAAGATACAGCCTAATTTAAAACCGCCCACATTGTGCCTGGAGACAGACAAAAAGCAGTGCTTGATCCAAAGGCACGGTACAATTACAGGCGCTATTTACAAGCAAAAAGCATAGTGAGTCATTAAAATTTCTCCTATTTATTCCTCCTTTAGTATAAAACGTCAGGAACTCGACGGCGCTCCGTCCATTGGTCCTGGCTACATCTGCAGTTGTTAACATCAATCTGCACTGAGCTAACGTTGGTGTTTCATGGTCCATTCTCCTTCGACGTATTCATTTAATCCTATCCATAGGCAAGAGCTAAGACCTAGCAATGAAATCATTAATAGGCTGGTGATTATGATGATAAAAATGAGGTTAATATGTACTGAATATATTTTACATTTTTCGCAATTTTAATAGAGATGGCAGAATGAAAAACTACATTGAGCAAAAGCTCAATATTCTTCATAGTAATTCTATGTTTCTTTTTTTAGGTTCGCCCTGCTCTTTAACTGATGACTGAATACTGAAGGTGTTGATTTCAATTATGCCTCATCAATATCTCAGTTTATAGGATAACAATTTTTATTAAGAAACCAAAAAAAAGCAACCAAAGGAGGACGGTTGATAACACTCAATAAGGCTTTGAGAGGCATTTGGGGGAGTTTGGAAAGCTTCAATATCAAGTAATTAGAGCAGTTGAAAAATCGTAGATCTGGGCCTGAATGAATTAAGTGATTTAGTCGGAGAAAAAGAAAACTATGATTATCATTAATAATCAAAAATAAGGATTGAATCAGATTCCAGGATCTGCCCCCTAATTTTGAATATTAATTATTGTACTTGTTCAAAATATTGAAACAATGTTTAAAAACCCTCTATTCAATTAAATCTTGTATTGAGTGTTCTAATCTCATTGCTTTTGGTACTAAAATGGGGAATTAGAGTCAGTTTGTATCAACATATGTTCATATATACTGAGACTATATACATTAACAGATTTTTTCATTTAAAATATTATTATTGTATTTGTCATGCATGTGAAATACTATAAAATAAATGATATCACAACAAGTGGTCGATGGGCAGAAATGGGTCCTTATCAACCCTCCTTCTTTAACATTTGAAAATTTTTAACATGTAAAAATTCAACTTGGTAAAGACTCTTGCAATTGCTATAAGAATCTTATATCGATTTTATTAATGAAATATATAATTAATGCAAACATTATATAAGTTTATTAAATATTCATATTATAATTCAATAAAACATTCTTATTGCTGTGGCCAGTCATAGCCAGACAAGTTGCTTCCTGAAATAAAAGTAGACCTAATTGTTTATATTAACATTGATTTAATGTAAGTTTATTATAAGGACAGTAATAGGTAAAACTTGACATATTATTTGATTAAATGTATATTAAAAGAATTGATAGTTTATGTGTATATTTCTTAATATTCTCTCATTTAAATTAAATAAACAATGTAATTTTATTTATGTTATACTGTTTTTTTATTTTCTTTAAAAATCAGGTATAAATGAGTTGTTACTTCAATTTTGGCATGTTTTTTTTCTCTTCTCATTATCCAATGATGCTGATGATGTCCAATTTACTAGTTCACTAAGAATCTGCAAAATTAGTGCCCTTGATTGCTAACTAAAGTGCGCAATACTGCTGACAGAAGACTTCTGATGATCGGATTTAAAAAAAAATATATGGAACGGAACCACCTCAGGTGGTTAATAAAACCTCCTTTCCAACTTTGAAGTCGGTTAAAAATAAAAGTCCTTCATTTCAATATACACACATTTATTACAGATATGCCTTCCTAAATAGTAACATTTAACTCGATGCGAAACAACTGCAACTGCTTACCTTATTCAATAGTACATACATATATTTGTAAATATTTATTAGGTTTTACTAACAATTTACTACCTACGTTTCAATATTTCTGATCCATTCAAAATAAATAACTAATGACGTGATTGTTATAATAAATTGGTGATTTGATATGAAATTCAAAAATACATTTTTTGTCATTGAAATCAATAAATAATAGGAAAAAGCTCCAATTAGATTTTACCATCATACCCAATATCTTCAATGAATAATTTAAGGTCCTTAAAGAAAGGAAACAAAACTCTTTCAGCTAAATTTGCAAACCTAACCAGTTAAAACTTATAAAATTACTACTAAACTGTTTCATTATATACAATTCAGGAAATAAATTACATCGCTTAATACTTTATAAAATTTAGATAGTGATGATCGTGAAATAATACAAAAAAAATAATAGGTATTATGATTAAAATAAGGAAGCACTAAAATAGCAAAACTACACTGCCAAATTAGCCTTTCATATAAATTAATACAAATCATTCATCTATTACTATAAAATCTATATTGGAAGTCGAACTAATGAGTCATAGACAAAAAGATCATACTATTCTTCTAACTAGGCTAATTATATCAACACTGATCTAGTACATGACCATAATAAATAAAAAAATCTTTCACAAAAATGTTGGCTACATGTGAGCAAAACTTTAAACCTAGAAAACATTACCTAAAGACTAGGGTCTTAACCACAGGATATACGCGCGCGAGGAGCGGCGAGCGCTATATCTATAATAGTTTACAAAAATATCTTGCAATTACTGTAACATTTACAATAAATACTTGTCTGGAAACAATCCTGGTTACATTCGTGTCGTGTATATATGATATTACCTACTCAACTATTTTATAAACTCGTGTCTTTTGACATAGCATCATCTGTGCACTAAACGTATATACGTTTTGCCTACCAATAAACATACACATTATCGAATAAATTCAATATGTAATTAACATTAAAATCAAACATGTGTAACGAGAAGGCTGTATAAATCTTAACAATCTATTATTTAAAGAACAAACTACAGGTTACTTTGAAATTCCAATATATTTATTAATTCGTTACTATAAATATTTGATACTGGCAGTACTCGCCTGGTTGTCTTTTTCTTTAGAATTACCTACTTTATACAATTTATGTGACATCCGAGAGAATCGAGGTACTTTAAACTTCTCGTACGTCAAAAAACGCGTCAGTTGGCCGCTTCAGAATACTTTTACAAGTGCTCTTGCGCATTACCATTTTCGTAACGAACGCGCACACGAAGATGCAATACAGATAATACATATAAAACTTGTATTATATCCAGCATCAAAGTAAGGATTGCGTACGGTACCGCCTTCTCCGTCGCCCTATCATTTTCTGTTGATCAAAGCCGCTATTTGCTAGAGCTCGAAAAAAGACGATTCCGCAATCACATTCGGGAATCCACTATCTATTTCACTCTAGCAAATAGCGTTTCTGAACAATGAAAAAAGACTACAGTGTTGCCAGATACAGTTCGACCCCAATGGATCTGTAACACTGGTCGATAATATCCGCGTGTGGGTTGCGAGTGATTTCTCTTTAAAAGAAATTTGTGCGGACGCAACTTGCATGCACAAGATTTTGTAAAGATATTCCTAATCTAACAACACCCATACACAGATTACAAATTGACATTGTTGTAAAAATGTTCACAATATTTTCTTTGACATAGATGGATTGACTTGCGAACATTATTATTAGAGAAAGTATTAAATTACATATTAATTTTATAAAAAGAAAACTTAATGGTAAGCACACACGTTCAGTTCTATTTGGAATGCATAAATAATAATTTTATCACGTAAAAAGGTTTGCCAAAATAAAAAAATATCCCTGCAATGGTATCTTTAGACCATGACTGAGGAAAAATCATTGAGCTACCCCACAAACACCTCTGTTATTTGTTATAGAATTTTAAAGCCAAGATCAGTTCAAATCTCTGTAATGTTATTTAAATTATAACAGACCACTTTGTGAATAATTACAATAAACACCTTACATCAATGTCAAATCATTTTTCTGACAAATCTTTTGAAAATACTTTACGTTACTTTTTATATTAAACTTTATGAATAGAGGTGGTCAACATTTTTTACAATTAACTTTATGGATAGCAATGGTCAACCTTTTTTTGCAAAAGTGTAATTATAATAATATTCATGATTATTACAACCCTCAAAATAAATTTGTCCTTAGATCGCTGTGTTTACCTTATAGTTTGAATTATTAAGTCTGTTAAATGAGATCCGAATTCTTCTAGTTGATATTAAAATGTGTCGTGAAACACATGTATTTAACATCCAGTCATCATTAAAGATATGTTTCTTTTAAATTCAACACTTTGGAATGAGGTACACAAGCATAATATTATTATACAATTTTAAAAAAGAACACTGAAATAATACCTTCATAAACTGTTTAAGTTTATATGTATAGTGCAATAGATCCAAAGCTATCTCTCCATATAGTTTTGAACCTTATTTTATTAGAAGTTAATTTGAAATTCGATTTTATGTTCCTGTTAATAAAGTAGATCGTTATTTTATGTTAACCTGTTATTGTACTTAATGTGATTTATAAAGCGGATATTACGTTACCTTGGCAATGGAGGACGTTGTTTCTCAGATGACTGAAAAGTACAGGAATTTCATAGGAATAAAACATCCAGAAATAACGCAGTGATAACTATCTAGAGATGAAGAGAAAACAACCCATCCCCTCCTAGGCACCAGAATAAAAATACGTCAAAAAATGCATGTATGTAAATTTTTAGATGTACAGTCGAAAAAATAATCTATAATTGCGGGTCATTTATATAATTACGACACACGTTAAGGTCAAAGAAGGGTAGCATTAGACCGATATTAATTGAATTTACATGAAGCAGACATGACAAGATTAGGTAATAAAAAAAACCCCATGAAAACATCGCGTAATTTATAGACTGCCCACTTGATTAATCTTGTACCTCATGTCAAGTTTGGCGTCAGGAATCAAATTTTTCGACTGTACAACATAGACTACGATATGATATTGTATAGATTTATAACAAATTGAGTGATAATCCGACTCTTAAAAGCGTACAAAATAATCAATTAGTAATGTTTATTTAAATTAGTATTCAATGCATTTTACAATAAAATCAAATATAAATGATTGAACATCGATTTTAAACTGTTACAAGGATTATAAACTGATCAACCATCAAAACACACAATCATACCATAAATTAACGTCTTATAACTAAATTATTTCTAACACAGCACAAGAGCAGGGTAGAGCAAGATGTGTAACGTTCCAACGGGAACTTCATTTTACAATTTCATTTTATCTCTATCCCTTTCTGTCGCTAACGCGTTCCTTAACAAATAAGTATGGTACACGGTTCAATCCACATTCAATATTTATGTATAGGTACGGAGAATATATAAGACCAAAAGGTTTGCTGGATTATTCAAGTGATTTGAATTTTTTATTGACCTGTAATTTACTCAAACGTATCGATATTATTAGACATATAAAGCTTCTCTCTTGATAATTAAAAAATATATATTTTAATAATCGTCTAAAGCAGTTTGTTGGTACAAAATATAGAAATACAGAAATTATAAAAAACAAAAAAGTTCATTACATACTTTTATTCTATACAGTTATTGAAAAAAAAAAAAAAACAAATACGTAAAGAAATTTGAGTCTAGTTTTGTAAGATAAATCCACATCCTTATTATATAATTACATTCAGAATTATTTTGGTTTTTTTTTCTGTCTGTTTTTCTTAGGATACTTCAATTATGTAAAATTATAGCTTCTGTAATATATTTTCCTTTTTCGCTGTCATATGAATATTCTTACGTCGTATATGATAGAGAAAACGCAGTAAAAGTTACAGGAGCGTAGTACGTTAAAATTAATTTAAAGGTGTTCGTACGTTACATCGGCCGTGAACATTAATTCATCGACTATCATCGACATTAAATCTTTACAATCCCAGTGGAAAACGTGCCATCTATAATCGCGGAAAATATAATGAAACTGTTCGCCAGAAAAATAAATAGGCGACAAGTTCTTCTTATTCTGTTTGTACACGTGTTAGAAATTAACTAATAACGATTCCCGTGACAATCTTAAGCAAAAAATTATTAGTCAACTAATTTTGAGTGTAGTTGGCAGGAAACTACGGAAACTGAAAATTCAATTTAAAGTAAAAAAAAATCCATTGCCAACTTTCGAATCTTTCAACTGTGATCCGGTGTAATGTACGAAGACCTTAACAGAATACATTTACGTATAATAATAAAATAGCTGCAACGTAAATAAGTATTCGGGAAACGCACAACTGGTTCTGGCCGTATAACTCTTATATAAGAGTAGAAAACGCAAAGCTATAATAGGTACTCCTCTAGTAAGAGATAAGATCGTATACCCATGTCAGATAACAATGTTATACGTATTACTTTAAATAGCTGTCGATATTAAAACTGATTCTATTATTCTAAAAAACTATCTTCCACTATGCATGCACGATCAAAGAGAAACTGATATACGGTAACAAATTTTTTCTTCTCTTTTTACTAATATATTTCCAGATGCTTATAAGGCTGCCAGGCTGCTTAAAAACGCGCCCAGAGCCTTCTTATCTGATTGATGCTTTTCTGAAATAAGGCTGACTTAGGGCATATTTTTATAATACAAGTAATTTAGCCAATTATGATCTTTAGCCTTTCAGTTTATAAGTAGCTGTGTGTTCCCTACTCTTTCATAAATAACCATTTACACGAAGCCAGCAGCCGAGCCGATCCACTGAGCCAGTCAAGTAAAATTAGAAACTGTTCTTTATCATTGGACTCGCTTGAGAATTGGTCTCTATTTACACAAAGCCTCGGCTACTGGCCCCGTGCAACTGGTCCGTTATAGTTACGCCGTCAGTACACCGACGCAATGTTTCGCATGTGCTTTGTCTCGCTCTATTATTAGCTCGCTGAATAGCTGCGCCCTTGTCAGTACGATTTCGCAGTCAACTGCGAAAAATGTCGTTACACAGACTCACATGTTTCGCATTCAAGGACTATCAGAGTATCACAAAATTTGTTCCTAAAAAGGTGACAACTCTGTTCGCTTTGCATACGATTGCGTCGATGTACTATCCGCGTTATAGGTCCTGGCACCTACACGGGGGTGGGGATGGGTGGGGGCGTGTGACGTCAGTGTTTCTGCGGCACGCCGGTGAAGCTGACCGGCTGCTCGTTGGCCACGAGCGTGGCGCGCGGCGCTGACGTCACGCCCCCGCCCCCGCCCGCGCCCGCCTCCAACGTCGCCGCCGACGTGCGCATCTCCTCCGCAGACGCTCTACAATACACACAATATTATACGAGTCACGTCCACCGTGAATGAATGAATGAATTAAGGAATAAATTATTTATTTTACACCATAAATTATAGAGAAATTACAATTGATACAGTTTAATTGTACAATCGGCGGCCTTATCGCTAAAGAGCAATTTCTGCCAGGCAACCGTAGGTTAGACTAGACTGTTACTAAATAGACGGGTAGTAGATGGTGTCTTACATTGCGAGAGAATCATACCTACATATATACATACAAATAACATATACATACCTCTACATATATATATATATATATATATATATAATAGAATACAATATACATACAAACATTTAAAATAAAACAGTACCAAGATAAATATAACAGGATGATACGATAGCATTTGTTCCTAAAGTGATAGATAGTATTCCTTTAACATATTTTAAAACAAATAATGAAGAAACACGCATTATTTCTTCAGGTAAGGCATTCCACAAGCGAACAGCCTGAACTGCAAATTATTTATCAAGGAATTTTGTGGAGTGCACAGGCATCTGCAGTTTTAGGTTCTCCGATGATCTCAAAAACACCGTGACACTTCACTGAGGACCAGATTCAAAACAGACGCTCTGGAGTCTAACCGTGAGATCTAAAAGCAACGCTTAATCCTTGCAGCGAGATGATGATAACCCCCCTAAAGTGAAATGAACATTGTACGACTGTCACATACACGTAGTCTCGATAAAGGTGCAAATTCCATTAATTTATTGTAGAATACGTAGACGTACGGTTTACTGTGTTGGCGATCGTTCAATTAAGGTTTTAAAGAAACTAAAATTAATAATTTTATTAAGTAAAAGAGCGAAAAAAGAAAGTACCGTCAGATAGGCACTGTTAATGAGATTTATACGATTCAGTACGTTTATCGAATCACATAGTATGAAATTATTCAATGTTTAAAAAAAAATGCGTGTAATAAGATACATATGTACTAGGAATCGGCCTGATTACTTAAAGGAGAACTCTTATCAGGATTACGTTCACACTCCTCCGTTCTACATACAATATTAGCGTTATAATACATATTATTTATAGATATACGTCATATTCAACAATTAAAAGAACCAGTGTCGAACTAACAGCTATAACGTCGTCAGAGTGCAACGAACTCAAACGCTAACACCAGCATGTGTATAACCCAAGAATTATAAGTAAAAGATACGATTCATACAATAATAAGCATACCATTAATATAATTCGTGTTAATTAGGCTGTGACTGTGACAAAAAATAATAAAAATAATTGGACCGCAAACTGAGAGTACAACACAGTGGGAGCGACGCCGGCAGCGGATTCTGAGAGCGGGTGTACACAAATACCGTCCTACTAATATTATGAATACAAAACTTTGTGAAGATGGATGTATGTTTGTTACGCTTTCACGCAAAAACAACTGAACGGATTTAGCATACAGATAATTGGAAAATTTGGCTAAGCGTGAATTAAAATATAGGCTACTTTTTATCCCACTAAAAAGTTCCCTGGGAACCATGCGGGCAAAGCCGCTAGAGGAAGATAGTATTATTATAAAACGAGAACTAAAGTTAGTACTCGGTTTAAACATTGGTCACCTAAAGCAAGTTGATAGTAAAAAAAGAGAAAACGTCAAAAGATTGAGACAAGTTGACTTATTTTGGTAGGATAATGAATGGTTTAAACCTGCTAAGTTAGTCCTAGTTTTATAATAATATGGATCATTCTTTAGCGGGTGAATTAACAATGGGACTATCAGACAGTGCCGCTCCCGCCGCTTATAAATTAAAATAACATACGAGGGTCGATGGCTATTAAAAAATCTTTCTACTTCGACAGAGAGAAAGAAAAAACATCTACTACGAGTAAAAAAATACTGTTAAAACTAGCTTATAAAAATCAAAATATTAAAAACATCGGTCACACAACAAAACGGTCCTTCGAGCCGGATCAACATAAAAATGTGCAACATATAAAAGGGTGATGTTAAACATGCACTGTCCAAGCAATGTATGCATCCACATAATGTTTATTGCCTCGTTTAGTTGGGACGCCAGACGTCAGGGTCCTCCATGAGGGTGACCTTGTGGTCCTGCGACGCCGCCAACGGAGCCCCCGGGGGCGTGGTGCCGCCCGCCGCCATCGCGGCCATGTCATCGCGCGATCCCCTGGTACCCACACCGTTACAAGCATACACACCAAACAAACGGCTCACCGAATATTAGTAATGTACCTTATGAGTTAATAACAGCGCTGACAAATGTTATATTAATTTTGTCAGTAATTTTTTGTGGAAAACTTACACTCTTTTATAATAATTAGTACACATCAATTATCCAAAGTTAATAAACATAATGTTATTGTTATTTGAACACAGCACAAATCAAGCTTTCGTTAAAATGAATTGTAAGTCCTCCTGCGAGCTCTTAGTATAGTTCGGACTGGTTATTATTGTTAAAAATTATTAAAGTACTTTATTTTTATTAAAGTACAACTTAATAAATAATTGTCGTAATATAATATTAGCCTTCCTGAGAGCTCGCGAACAGACTGCTTGTACATATTATGATTTAACATAAGTTAGTAAAGACGGAATACCGAATGATGCATGCTTACTTTCTACCAAGCGCCATCATGAGGTATATAACGCCGGTGGCGAAGATCAGCCCGCTGCCAAACCACGTGCTCAAACTGACGAAACACAGGAAGAATGGTGGCAGCGACAGTCTGTTACATAACACAAATAAAAATATTATTAGCGGATAGCAGCAAATTAAAAAGAACAAACACGCATCACACTACTCTGTTGGTTTTTAAAGATGTATTTATTTAAGCATTTTGTGCACGCATGTACAAGGGCATTGCTTAATTCAAGTTGAAATTTCTCTACCAGCACATCCACAACGAGAGAAAATACTTTCTAAAGTGTCGATAGAGCTGCAAGTCGGCTGCGTAAAGGTAGAAATGACGGAGTTTATAAAAATGGAGAATAAGAGAGGTGAGAAAACACTATCCTGGGGAACATCCGTACCGAAGTCAAACCAATCAGAAAATTTATCGTCAAGGCGGATATGCTGCATAAGTCCCCAAAGATAGGAATCAAAACCATGAGGGAACAGAAAGAGACTGCAGGAACGGAGAATAAAGAAGAACATCAAAATAGATAGCATTTAAGATTATTACATTATAATTTTACAAATTAAATAATACCTCGACAAATGACAATAACGTCGAAGCACAGTACAAAGAAGTTTAATGAAAACAAAAAAGAAATACTGCGGATTCGTTTTAAATCAAATAAATATTGTTAGTTAAACTTCTGTATTCAATAAAGGTTGTTTTAGACGCCACGCATATTGATGTTAAGCTATATTTTAGCAAAGTTTTACTTGTGCGTTCTCTTCTTAAATAACTAGTATAGTAGGTGACTAGACTTTTCGATATACATAATTATCTAATCGGCAGTATATAAATATCTGCGTAATTTCATTTGTTTTTAAAAAAGTAGTTCCTCTAAAATTATCAGCGTGTAATCAGTGATAAAACATATGTATTTTATAGAGTAGTAGCTATAAGACTTATTCAGTGCTATCTATACTAATATTATTAATGAGAAAAGATTTGAATGTTTGTTTGAATCGAAACGAATCCAAAACTATTGTATAGATTAAAAAAATTATGTCACCTACGGGAAGCTACATCATACGCGTATGAAATAAGATATAAATTACGCGTTCGAAATCGCAGAAAAACATCTAGTTAAAAACAAACATGCAAGAAATACGATAGATGATACACAATATATCACCGATGCATCTGGGTCTTGTTCTCCCTGTGTATACTCAACCTTTATATACCAAAGTACGTCATTCTTTTGTCCATCATTGTCAGTAAATTATGTCAAGTTGATAATGGTTCTTTGAATGTATGAAAGAAGGGTTATGAGCCTTCTTTCATACGTGGGCTTTTATGACTTCTGAGAGAGTTTGCTCTCATTTACCACCATAGCTAATAACAATTTAAAAACGTTGACATTCGCTTAAATTGATCATATCCTTGTTTTTTAAATAGCAACAATGCCAATGTACAATCAACCGACACCACGACAGGATTGACGGATCTTCCGTCCGATTATATTAATACTAGGTTTTGCCCGCGACTTGGACAGCGTGGAATAGTGCTTTGATCAGCATTTACAGTAGCACTAAAGCAAATATTTATTCATTGTATCGTGTAAAATACCTGAATATAGTTTCATGATTTTATCTTAGACAATGACGAACTTCTATAAAACTTTAATTCTATATTTCAACTATTAACTATAGCGCAGCGCCAACAGTGCAATGTACAATATACTTAACACCATCTAGTAGCTCAAAATATATAAAAAAATATATCTTTTTTGGATATTTTCAAACATTTTAATTCAAAATTTTATTTTTGTTATCAATTATATATTCAAATACCAATCCATATTTCATCACTATGTAAAGAAAACTCTATTGATAATATTAGGTAATCACAAATCAAATAATAAACAATAGGTGCTATGGTAACATATTTATTCCCATCGTTAGCCAATGTTCATCGATAGAGGTAAGTTTTATAAAAAGTTTTTACCCATTTAAACCCCCTTCGGGGCGGAATTTCCGAAAATCCATTCTTAGTACATCTCTTCGTAAAAATAGGAATGTACCCTCCAAATTCCAACTCTCCACTAACAGTGATTTTGATTGTGCGATGTCTGTCAGTCAGCAAATCAGGACATCACTTTTTATATGGGTATGAATACAATGTAATATACTTAGTTAGGGGCGGTTCCGAACACTGACTCCATTATATGAAAAACCTTATTTTCTTATAATTCAGAAATAACGCACTCTTTATTGAACACGGAAACAAGTAATTAGTGAACAGCTATCACTGTTTGTTTTCCAAATAAAAGAAATAAATATAAGATGTTACTTAAACATTATTGAGTTGTACTGTCAACAGCACAACACACATTATCCAAGAAAAACTTTCACAGTTCACCACCAATCGTATTTCGTTTTGTGAAATTTGACAGTATCTTTGACTTGACTTAAAAAAAAATAACATTTTATGTATTTTATATACACAACGATATTAATTAATATATATATCACGTTGTTTCGTAATTTACTGAAAAAAAAAACAGAAGTACACATGTCAAGATTGCGCGCAAATAAAATGTGCAAACAATAAATGCCTTGCGTTTTGTAGAAACGAATAAACATTATTGTGAATGCACACAGTATGAATGCATTGTTTTAATACAACGTGAATCAACATTATTAATACAATTGGAAGCTTAATGCTTATGCTCCATTTACATTTACACTTAATTATCGCGTGTTTGTATTACGTGTTTTACCTGTTTTATACCCAAATAATGATGAAGGTCACGTGTGGTGTGCAAATTAAACTTTTATCTATCTTATTTTGACTGACATATCCTGAATAGTAAGAAAAACATTATGTTTATAATTTTCCTAGCTGTTTTCCCGCGACTTCGCGGGGATTAATTATAGAGTATGTCACCCGCTTATGATATAGATGTGGCTCGTAGGTGAAAGAATACAAATAAACTTGGAAATTTTAACTCTTTATAATATCAGTATGGATAACAACCGTGTCCTAAGCGGGAACGATCGTTACGAATAGATCATTGGTTTGAATAACCGCAAAACACATCCAATTCATCAACCTATCAATGCCCGGTGATGGTAGCATCCTATAAATTACTTAATTATTATATAGACGATAACAACCATATTTAGATTTAACCGGAACAAAACGCTTAATTATTCTTCCTAAACTTAGAAGCACTCGTTAAAATTATCAATGCCTACCGAGTCATACAGCTTCTCTACACACACTGTATGTCCAGTAAAAATTAAGTCATGCAGAGTTTAGCTTACTTAATACGTGTGTCTGATGAATGATTAGCTATGTATTTTCAAAAGTATATGTTAGTATGGATATGATTCAGAGATAAGACTTTCGAAAGTTATCTAGGAAATTGATAACAAAATCATAATAGCCGTTGTATACTTAACATGATACTCAACAAAAATGATCAAAACTATTTTTTTACAAATTATATCGAATGTAAAATATAATCGCAGACATATCTATATTTATTTTTGGTATCTTATTTAATTAACATTTCTACTTTTACATTTCTATATTTATCTACATATCTTTTGTTATTTTCATCTTTCGTTTCTATTCTCTAGTTACTTATCTATGCATTTTACATCTTTATTTTTCTGCTTATATCTATTTATTTTCTATGTATTTACAGGTTTGCATACTTCCTTATTCTAATATCACAGTTTTACTTGATATTTTTACATAATCTAATCATTTATTTAATCTTTCTTTTTCATCGCTACCTTCTCTATTATTTTACAAGCGGTTTTTATAAATTGCTCTCTATCATCTCCGTTGGTCATAATTTTTTTTAATTTTGCCCTGCTAAGGTGTGTGTTGATGCTCATTTGTGTCTATCTTTGTTATAGATCGGGCATTCCGACAACACGTGGAACACATCCCGTCTCACTTGGGGGTCGCACTCCTAAGCTGGGGTATCTTTAAATTTGTATTCATGGAGGTAGGACTTGAACCCTCCATGTCACGTTAACAGCTGTGAAGCCCACCTTATCAATCTTCATCTTACGTACGACGCCAAAAGCCCTCTCTCCACTCGGGAAGAAGACCTTCGTCGTGGCCGCGGTGCTTTCGCTCCTATAGCGATTGTCCCATTCTACTTTTGTTAAATTGCGCAAATGCCCTTTAACAAAAGAGATCATATAGTGCGATCTGCACTTTGATCAGAGAGCCGCCTCCTTCACCAACTCGTCCGCTCTTTCGTTCCTAATCACGCCAACGTGGGCCCTAATCCAAAATAGGGAGACCTTTCGGCCTAGTTCCCTAAGTTGAACCATGTTCAATCACGAAGGCGATTGTAGCAACTGTAGGGCGGACCTTGAATCACTAAGCACCGCGACCTCCTGCCATTCTTTGCTCATCATGCATTCAGTTGCTTGGAGGATTGTACGGCTTGGAAGACTGTACATTATGGCTCCAGCTTAAACTTTCGGGAAGCGATCTCAACAGCCCCCAAGTAGGGCTGCACCGACTTTTCCCTCAAGTTTGCTGCCATCTGTATAGATCCTCACAATGCCTACTGCCAGTTTGCCATCCTCTTCCGCGTTCTGCAGGCACAACTCTATCATACTAAGGCTGCCGGGGTGGTTCGATTCCAGTAAGGACACCCTTTCCTCTACTTTACTGAACAGTATGGGGTTTCCCGCGCTTAGCTTCATTAAAGCCGGAATGCTTCTTGGATCCGAAGCAGCGCCGACAATATTAATGCGGAATTGAGAGATACCGTCCTATAAGTTTTAGCAATTTTTTGAGCGAACCCCCTTTGTACTGCGTTCAAGACTTTCCTACTTCTTATTTTTTCGGCCTCGAAAAAATAAGAAGTAGTACAAACACTCGCTGCGTATAATATTATTGGTTCTATAACTGCTACATAGATGGTCCTAATGACCTCGGGGTTTAAGCCCCATGTTGTCTTTGCGGATGTTGTTATGCCTTTGTGGATGTTGATGACTTTTTTACTCATGTAGCTAATATGTCTGTTAAAAGGTTTCGATTTCGTTCTTTATTTCTGTCAGCTCTCCTCCCATTGTCAGGCGGGGCGTGTCATGCTTCAATTTTTTTGTTAGTCTCATTGCCTTTGCCTTATGTGGCGCAAAATTTAATTTATTAGTCACACCCCACTCTCTGACTCTGGTTAGTGCACTATTTGTTGTTATCTCTACCTCTTGGGAGCTTCTTGCAGACACTATTAATACGACATCATCTGCGAAGGCTTGGCAGTATATCCCCGCTTCGGTGTGGTCATTCAGAAGTGGATCCAATTTCAAGTTCCAAAAAAAGGGTCCTCCTAAGGACCCTTGTACGCATCCTTTATTGGCATATCCATATTAAGACAACATATCGATCCCTGCTATTGCTAATAGTCTAGAATACTTAATTTCGGATCCATCCCTAATCTTCTAGGGATAGCATAGTTTTATAAAGGTACCAAACAACCTCGTCGTTGGCTATTTTCCCTAAATAAAAAAAAATAGTTCAAAATACTCACCCGATGTAAAGAGCAGCCTTATTCCAATACGGTCGCGTTTCCATCTTGTCCGATAACGCCTGAACGTAATCAATAAAGAAGCAACAGCACGGCGCCTCGCAGACTATCACCGCGAACCCGGCCAACATCTGCCATATGCCCGCGATCACGCACGTCACATTTAATAGGATAATGCCTGTGCAGTTCACCAATCCCAATATGATCGCAACTGTAATAAAAAAAAGACATCACCTAAAATAGTTTGATCATTTCGTTATACTTAGAAAATTAATACATACAATCTTGTCGTCTAAAGTATGCCATTAACTCAGACCATTTATTTTCTATTTTGGCCCGGCTGAAAAACGACCACCTTGAATTTAGTATGTGAGCGAACAAAGGGACCCCAACCTTTTGCATAACGTTCTTATACTTTGGCATAACCGTTTTGGTATAATACTTTCTCACTATTGTTTTTTGGCATATACAGATTATGCTGGAATAATTTTACTAGGTATATATTTTTAAGCATACCTATATTTTAAACCGAGTTCAAAAATTAAAAGGTGGAGGATATATGTTAGACGGCGATGTATAATTTTTTATGTATGTACATCTATATATTCGCCAATTGTTGACTGATTTTAAAAATTATTTTTTAATTCGACAGCTAGCTCGGTCTAGCTAGCGCCGAAGTGTCCCGTTTAAATCTTATCAGCTAAAAAACAAAAATTGCGTATTTTGAATTCATTCAAAAAGAGAAAGGAGGATTTTCTGTGTTCAAAGCGTATGTACATTTTTATGAAAGCATGTATGTTCATCAATTTTTGAAAATTTCAATATCTCTAAAAAGCATGAACTAAAAACTTTTTTCAAAAAAAAATACAACCGTAATCAAACTTAAAAAATTGAAAGCATATTATAAACAAAATGTTATTATAAAAAATGTATTATTTATCATTTTTTTAAAGTCTGAAGTCGGTTCTATTTTTAGAAAAAATATTTTATGAGTATCTTTAATTATCATAATATTACGAGACATGATAAACTAAACAATCAGTCAATTTAGGTTAAAACAATGATCAAAACAAAAAACAAGCCGTGCGAGTAGAGCGAGCATACCGTTCATTTTCTTTATTGACCAGCTGGGAATCGAACCTCGAAAGATAGCGACACCTTGAAACTGGAGTGTGAGTGACGTGACCCTTATACGTTAATAATGTTGTGTGAGGAGAGAAAATAGTATAGCATGTTATATTTCATGCAAACGGATACATTTTTTGTCAACAATTTGACGGATAGTAAGAGTTGTACTTCAAAATATAATAATAGCCCGTAAAGAAAACATAGATGGTATCACGTGTCGTCACGATGACTGATGCGAACACCGAACAGCATTACTTTGAAGCGCGCTCGGTCGCTGCTACCGCGTTATATAAAAGTCAGCAGGTCAAGTTCAAGGATGAATAACTATCTATGCCAATAGGGCAAACTGGAGTGTTCTATACCAAATCTAACCCATGGAATTTCATAGACATAATACCTACTAATAAAAATAATACAATGAGAAAAATTAAAAACATGGACTTTGTTCTTTCACTTTCTAAACAAACCTGGTAATTTGTTTAGCTAAAAGGATATAAATTAAATAATAATTAAAAAACCAAAAACCCGCCTATTTGAAGAACAACTAACAAGAAATCAACTATAAAAGCTGGATCAAGATAAAATTTATACATAACATGCAGTCAGAGGCATAGACAATGAGAAAAAGATTTGACTATTTTATTCAATTTAATTTTTGTAGAAACAAACGGATCACATTCTGCTAAATATAAAAAATGCTCATACTTTAGACAAAATATTTATATCGTCAAAAAAAAAAGATTGCCTTCAGGCCTTAAAAGCTCTGTGACAGGTATGATGCTTAGGCGAATGAATAAAAAGCTGACTAAGCTTGAGAACTTGATTTAATAAAGGGTAACAAAAAAAAACCCTTTTCTTTGGTTTTGGTGAGTAATTTAACTTAATAAATGGTGGTACAACACATATTATATTTTATTTGATTTAGTATATGTTGCATCATTTTTACAAAGATCGTTTGATTTAGTTTCTTTTAAAATTGATAAAATGGAACAAATCCATGTTGGTATACACACCTGCAGTGTTATTTCAAGATAGTCCCCTGATATGGACGATCTATTTGGGCTTCGTAATAGCACCTTCTGACTACCCACCGACATATACATTTTTACAACAAATTGCTATTGATTGGAATTAAATATGTACATATAATGTTTCTAACTCAAAGAACTTTCACAAACTGACATTCATAAAGAGCTTATTGGATTACACAAAATTTCAAATTAGAAAAAGTGAATAATAAAAGTAAATGATGTTGAAGATCGAAGACAAAAAGTTTGCATGCAGAAACCTAGGACAAAATAAACGGTGGTATGAAGCACCATTACAACTGTGAACGCTTTACGCTGCAAAAAAAAGATATTTTGACACTATCAAGGGAACTATATTAATTGATAGGATTCTCATTACAGTACTTGATACCAACCAAGAGGTCAAACAACAAAGTGATCATATTTTTTATTCACCATAATTATAATTTTATATGTACAAAACTACGGCTATCCAAGGTCCGCCAGCAGCATTGTAATTGAATAAAAAACCCACTAATCATATGATATGGTCCAATACCATTATAAAATATTAACATTTTTTAAATCAAATCTACTCCAATGCAATCAAACAATGAACGGTCACAGATGATCACACTAACAGCTAATTCACTCGTCCATGACTCACCTGAATTATTTTTTATCATCATAATGACAAAATAGTAAACTCAGTTTGAGTATCTTCTTAAAAAAATATCATAACAGTGTATTTTATCATTATACTGTTGTTTATAACGTATTGAACCACAAAATTAATGTAGTTCCTCAAATTGATAAGATGTGTAATTGAATTTGATAGAACATGTCAAATGTCAAGATTATAAAAATATACTTTAACAAGTGTTTAATGTACAAATTAATAAAATATTAACATTCATATCATAAAGTTAATATAAAATTATAATAAGTAAACAAAGCAAATGAAATAAAATTACTAAATATAAAAATAGGTACTATTTAACTTTTATTCTTTAATTATACTATTTTATAATAAAAAAATGTATATTTAATAAATAAAAAAGAAAATGCAAGTGTTACAAATTCAAACAAGTCAAAATGGATGTATCAACGTCAACATTATAACACTGTACTTGATAAATTAAGTCACTAATAGATTGCCTTTACATTTAATTTAGCTCTAAAGCTTTATATCTAGTTTAATTGAATTAAATTTAAATGTAGCTAAATCTTACCAGTGCTATTCATAAACAAGGTTTAGCATCAGAGTAAATTTGCTCTGAAATTGCAATATTAGTATTGGTCCAAATTCATATTATACAGAGAATAATCAAACCTACCACCTTCTAGGGATAATAATTAGTCCTGTAGAACCTTGTACTAGTTTACCTTTGCTAAGTCTCTGTTTAATAATATGAATTTTGACTAATACTAAGTGCAGTCTCAGTGTAAATTTACTCCAACACTAAACCTTGTTTATTAATTACACTGTATATGTATAACATAAACAAACAAATAAAATATAAACAGTGTAATACTGTTTACATTTATTGGTGATGGAGTTACTCCTCTGCTTTATTTATCAATAAACATGACTTGAAATAACAACAGATACAGTGTGGATTCTATAAAAAGCACCAATAATTTGACTATTATTCATACAGGTATTATTTCTTTTTTTTTTACCAAACTTAAAAAAAGGAGGAGGTTATCAATTTGACTGTATTTTTTTCTGTTTATTACCTCATAACTTTTTAGGGGGTGGTCAAATTTTGATGATTATTTCTTTATTTGAAAACTAGTGCTTGCTGTGTGGTAATTTGGTCCAGATCTGGCAATGGCATCTATGAGAACACTGCATGCAAAATGCATGCATTTTAGTGATATGAGTTTTGGGGTAACAAAATTAATGTCATATGGTTTTCTCATTTTTTTAATTAACTACAGATAATCTGAGCCTGACTTCAATGTTTCTTAAAAAAATTTAACCGCTTTTAAGATAAGTATTATTTTTCAGTTTTTTAAATTTGAAGTCTGTTCCTTATTTACTTTATAGATAAAATTATAGTTTAAGTCAAAGTACATATAAAATTTATTGTTAAGTAACTGGATATAACTACCGCAACAAAGACAATTTACAAATTTAAGAACCTTTCTTTGTTGGTTCTTGTAGACTTCAAATGATAAGAGTAGAATCAAACTGATGAAATGGGCGTTCATGTACTCGTGGGTCATGTCAATAACAGATACACAGATTTGGATTGGCATGCAACTTTTTCGAAGCTTTCAGGGAACGATTTAGAAAGTTTTGGATACGAACTGAAACTGCCAACTGTCCCCAGGCCTCGTCCAGCGTAGCGCATCCACCACGGAACGTCATCTTTCTGAATATTATCGGCACCAGGCCGCGCCATAAGCATACTTATCTTGTCTGTTAGTGACTGAAACAAAATAGACACAAAAGTTACACTTGTAATTTAGTACGCAAAATAAATCTTAATTAAACAGTTTATTACCATTTTCAAAAAATCAATTCACGAATTCACTCACTGCTTGACTGCTCTGTCATCTGTCAACTCGACAGTCAGTCAAGGCACCAAAGAGTAATAATCATAAAGTAGAGCACAAACAAGAGTTTGTTTTCCTTTATCACTCCATATGCACTAACTTTAATAGATACAATATCTCTATCACAGAATGTTGATGAAGTCTGTCTTACCAAAAAAAGTATCGTGGCATAACTTTTATTCCTTTGTACTAAAAACGAAAACATTGTAATCCGAGGATCTTATTCCAATAAATAAATAACTTTGAATGAGGAAGTATTTAAAAAAAAGACAGCACTAAAAAAGCTCCTCCACTAGATGGCGACTCTAACAAAAGTTGAGTTTTGAAAACTAATTTACTTTTAAACATAAAAGAAAGCCTTGTCATGGAGAAACCAAGAACGTACCATAGCGACATCATAGACATAAAAGAAGAGGACCGGCCATACCTACGAAAAAAGCGTATATGCCTAAACTTCAAATGCAAATTCTTCGATGGCGGATTGTCATAGGGCGTGACCCAAGATATCGATATTTGTATCGACATTGAAGTCATATTAAATAAAAGTTAGTATTTCGTGAAACTGCTACAATACTACTACTTATTAAATAATATAATATAATTTTCATTGTTAGGGGCATGGCTAAACTATTACCTATTACACTTCTATTCATTTCACACTTACGTACCAATCCTATTTATGATTATTATTAATTAAATTGAAAAATTCACGCCAGTATCAAGAAAATAATATTTTTTTAAAAGTGGCGTAAATTTATCAATTATTTATAAATCATTAAGCAATCTTTTGCTCGTATTTTGTTGGACATCTAAAATTTCTTGCGTTCTTTGTTCTTGCGACTCCGTTGCGTCACTATAGTAAATATAACATATGTTACCAGCGTATGATGGCGCTTCCCACGGGTAAAAGATTATTCGTATTCCAAATTTCATCAAAATCCGTTCAGTAGTTTTTACATGAGAGTAACCAACATCCATCCTCACAAACTTTCACATTTATATTATTTAATAATGTAATTTTATAATATGATTGTACCTCGATAAATATGTTTCTTTTTCCTCTAATATAGCCAATTTTACATAGTTTTAAGAACTATAGTACCAAAATATATATCTTAAAAGTTTTACAATAATATCAATTGTGTTTTATAATTATTTCCATATATATTGTCAAGTTGACATTTTGCAATTATTATTAAATAGTTTTTTTACCATAAGTTTAATTTTGCATCCACGGGAAGTGTGACTACTGTCCAAGATAACTACCACGGTAACTATAATAAGCTTTTAATGAGTCGATTGACGAATGAATTATTATGCTTTTTTTGTCTGTTATATATTTTTTATTGTTTTGGTGGAAAGTGACATTTTGGTCCAATGAAGTCATTTTTTATTTTTCAGTACGAAATTAAACAGGGTGCAAAAGCAGCCCATGCAGTTTCTTACCGGTTCCTTTCTTACAGTTTCTTCTTTTCTCGGTACAAGGTTTCCCGTAATAGATTGCTGAACTATAAGCACAGAGTTTGCTTTCTTATATGCTTGTAACTAGTAAGCCAACTTGTCTATAAATTTATTCAATAAATTATTTTGACTGAATAAATTTCGCTTCCTCCTCATTAAGTGAGATACCGTGCGTACTGTGCCACAATTTTAGTTCAGAACATCTTGTTTAGTAGTAAACATAGAAAACTTGAAACACCTACATAATCTTTGTATTATATTATTGGTAAAAGAACATAAAAATACTGTTAACTTTGATGAATAAACAAAAGAAAATAAAGAAAACAAAGTTGGTGATGAATAAGTAACAATTGGCATAACAGTAACATTATTAAAGAAGTAACAATTGGCATTTTATTTAAAAATTTGGTTAGCAAGAAGAAAACAGCCGATTAATCAATAGGCAAGCATACAAATATTTTCTCAGCACTAAAACAGTCTGCAATTCATGTTCTGTGAACAATCATGATAACGGTCAGCAATTTAAATTCAAAAAGGTAGCGTATTTTATGATGCATCAGCAAAATAAACATCCACGCCGCAAAATAATTATTTGGGTATTAAGATTATACTATTGAACAGCAAAGAAAACCTTTAACTATGCCTTTAATTTGATAAGTGTGCATATTTTAATTTTTATTAAAATTATTTAACTTATTTTACTGGGAGTATATTATGATCAGAATTTTATATTTTAATATTATTATATATTGCATTCTGCTGTTTTTCAATTAAAATAGTCGTCATATGACCGCAAGACTAAAAATAAGGTACATTTATAGAATAACAAAATGACTATATAAAAAACTAAATAAATAAATCAGTAAAATCAAATGAAAATTAACTAAGTGTAATAGACATTTTTTTTTAAATAAGTTAAAAGCAATTGTCAAAAATTCTTACCAGAGTATTTGATTGGCAATGCATCATCTCGTAATTTTATTATATTTAAAGTTCGATTCAAACAACTTTCCCTAAAATGAAGTGAGCAGATAAAAGTAACTATTTCATTACATTTAATATTTTCTGCTTCTATGTAACTCGGCCATTTTCCTCTTTTGTTTCATCTTTTGGTAATCTAAAATAATTAATATATTTTTAAATATTAAAATTATCGATATAAACCATATGTTAAAGTAACGACACTAGCCATGTAAACAATATTATTTACGGACCGAAATATTATAAAAATATAAACGAAAAGAGCAATATAGCATAAATAGAACACGCCAAAATACGATATGTATCGATTTATACACGCAATCATTTTCAGAATAACTTACTTACGTTTTAAATTCTGTTATTCCAAGAAAGTGTTTAACTTACCGGTGAAACGTAATATTGCTCGGTTTGCGGGATATTGATGACGCACAACCAATTATACAGCACCTAGGCATTGTTTTGCATAAATAATTTACAATTTTCTGCCATGAAAGTTATATAAATTAAAGTTATAAATGAAAATAACCACAAAACTTATAACACTGACAGCTGAACTACTTCCGAGAATACGCAAAGCAAATTTGCAAATGGCTGACAGGTGGTACGATAGCTATATCTCATGACGTCACGTAAAAAATTTTGAACTGTCACACTAGTGTTATCTTTGTTTACTAAAGAAACTTCTTATTAGTTAAAAAAAGACAACATGATGTTTTTGATGTCAACTTCAGATTGCATGATATTTATATAACCATAGAAAATATTTCCACTCTACCTTACTCTATGAGCGACATCTAGTTCGATTTCGGGAACTAATGTTTTTTTTTTTCTTCTTTTTTCTTCAATGGCACGTCTTCATTAGTCGTACAATTCTGCCAAAGTTGTTTTTTTCTAATACTTCCTCATTCATGACGTTAAACCAAAGAGAATAGAATAGTCAGTGTTGTTATAGATCTTAACTTGGATTAATATCGAGTTGAAATTTAATCAGTTCGAGTTACGCAAACGCAACTCGTTTAATACAAAGTAATCTTTGAATAAATTACTTTTTTATTTGTATAAAGAAAATGGAAACTAACAAAATGGAACTCGGCACAGACAAGGTATTTTTAAAATTTCTGGATATCAATTGAATTAATGCTGTGATATAATTAAAGTGGCATTTAGCTACGATATACAATAATATTACCGCCAAATACTTTTTATAAATAAAATACTTATGCCATAGTAGGTCTAGGAATTTGTCATTATAATATTTAAAAAAAAATCGAAAAACAGTTAAGTTAAGTTAGTTTTATTGCTTTAAGTTATTTGTCGAACATACAACAACAAAACTACAACAACTCTTCATAAACAAAAGTCATAAAAACAATAAATATAATAAAAAATCCGTTTATTATCATTTTTAGTACTGGGCGTAAAATTTAATTTGAAATGTTGCCAATTTTAATAACATCAATTAGCCAGGTTTTAACGCAACGCTTTTATAACCTGCGTGGGAATGGAATTTAATAAGAATGACGAAATATTTAATATAATAAAAAATAGTTCTCGAAATCTAACTAGATGTCGCTACGCTACTTTCTTAATTTCTCCATGACAACCCTTCCGGTTTTCCTTCATGTATAAAAGAAGTAAGTTTGTATTTGTATTGATATCTAAGTTTCGAATATTGCAATTTTCAGTTTTTTAATATATTAGTTCAAAGGAACAGAAAAAGTCAACTTTTGCTAGAGTCGCCAACTAGTGAGGTGCATTTTTAATGCTTTCTTTTTTCTTAAAACACTTCCTCATTACTAGGAACCATTTTCGACCTCGCAATGATAACACCGATAGAAGCAAGAGTTTCGAAAACGATACCCTAGACAATATTATAAATAAATAAAATTACATCATACTTATTCAAAGAAATCCTTTTGAATCTAATGTGATATTTTTTTGTATTTTATATCTATTAACAACTTTTTATTAAACAGTTTTATTTTGCTCACCCCGTTCGTTTTGTTCGTGGTAGGTCAAATTTAGTAATTGAAATTTCACCCTCTTTGCATCAACTGATTGATCTGAAATTTGGTATACTCCTTTGATTCTGGTGATAATACAATCATGTACATTCCATATTATTATGAATCTAAGATGGCCGCCGCTTCAAGATGGCGGATAATTTAGTTTTTTCTTCAATCCCATCAATATGGGTATCAAGTGAAAGGGCTTGTTAAGTAGAACACAGTGCACTATACAAAATGAAAAACAAAGATTACCGCCGCTACAAAATGGCGGATAATATAGTTTTATTCAGCTTGGTAAGTATAATACAGTGTACTATACAAAATTACAATTAGAATCTCCCAGCCAAGTCAAGCTCTCATATCCTGTCGAGGATGTGGCGTTAGGGTTGCTAAAAATGATACGTCGCTAGGGGTGCACCACCCAAGTTAAGGCAAATGGAAAAAACGCGCCGTGAACTGTATGGCATTAGGGTGGATAAAAATAGATTAAATAGATTAGAACTAAAAACTTCAAAATTCAAATGTATACGTCTTTTATTATAGGTATTTTAAACACATTAATCTATAAACACATTGCATTGTCAGGATTTTATGTGAACATAGATATCTCCACAAAATAAGTAGTTTATTGGTTACTTTATTTCGAAAATGTATACATATTGGCACCCATGGCTATATCCATTCATTTATTTTTTAGCATTTAGTTAATTTATCTGCAATATTTTTCTGTTTACAATAAAACCGTTTAATTTTAAAAGTTTATTTTTTTACATTTTTCAATGTATATTGTTGGCAGTGGCAGCACTTGGTATAATTACAACTTCTACCCTTCTATCACTTAATGAGGAAGTATTTAAAAAAAACATTAGTTGCCGAAATCAAACTAGATGTCGCTACGCTACGTTCTTGATTTCTCCATGACAACCTTTCCGGTTTTCTTTCATGTTAAATAGTAAATTAGTTTTCAAAACTCAATAAACAATTCATATTCTATTTGTACTTTTTCATATTTGTATTGATATCTAAGTTTCGGACTTTTCAAATTTCAGTTTTTTAATATGTCAGTTAAAAGGAACGGAAATGACTGTCTTTGAGCCATTCGTTTCCTGCAATCTAGTGAAGGGGCATTTTTAGTGCTTTCGTTTTTTTTTAAAAACTTCCTCATTACTCTGTCTACACAAGGCAAAGAAAACAGATTGTTTAGCGTTTTGTTCTTAAAAGTTAAAAACAACTAATTACCGTTTATAAATGAAGTTAAATAACTTCTATTAGGCTATTTAATAAATATATAATAAGAAACAGTTACTTAATAAAATATTAAACTACCCTAATTATATATTTTTTTAAAGTCATTACGTTAAAAAGCACAAGCTAACAAAACGCATTTATATGTCCGTCGGCTTCAGTAATATTATAGTTTTGCACAATTTCTGCAAAAGTAGGGTTTTATAGTTATTACCAATTGCCGTTTTTAAATTCATGAAGAATATACAGGATTAAAATAGAGATGCAACCGACGACGATGCTTCCGAAACTTACGGAAACCACTCAACTTGTGTAAGTACATGAATTTACAATTTATTTCGGGGTTTTTACTACTTTAAAATAAAATTTAAGAATGTATTTCACATTAGGGATGTTTATTTGGATACTCTCTCCATTACAACTCATTCAAAGTAGTTTTCAAAAGTTTCATAACCTGTTGCTTATCGTTATTTTCATCTAAATTTTTATAATTATTTAGGTACCTACCTAATCCTCTTGGATATCATTTTACATATTCCAAGTCATACATCATGTATGAAGTGTATTGTTGTTTTATTTATGTATTTAAATATTTAAACATAAAAAGTAGCCTAGTAACTTGGCTAATCATTTATCATATAGATTATGAAGACTCATAAATTGAATTGACATTAAATAAACTGAGGTATAGAGGTAAACTACATATTATTACATCTATGTAAATAAGTATTTGCCCTAACCAATATATGTATAAATTTAATTATGTGATTATTCTCTATTCACATTTAAATACAACATAACATTTTCCAGAACATTTTCGGAAGATGAAGGAGTATGTACAGCAGAAGTGTTTGCTACTGATGTAGTGATTAACACAAATCCTGGCAATCACAACCATGGCAGCTCCAATGTGAAGTTGAAGAACTTAGTGGACTACAACTGGGAGCCTAAATTCTACCCAGGACAGCTGCTTGCGACTCACATGACTGGAAAATACCTAGCATATTCAATCAAAGGTATTTTTCTTTTTTTCTAAATATGGAATAATAACAATTGTGTGAGAATAGAATCTTCAAGTCAATATAATAAATAAAGGGTATAAATCCTTGAATAAGGTTAAATTTAGATGTAAATAATTTGCAGCTCCAAATGCCGCCAGTCCTGGTATGTGGACTGGAATGGTGCGTGTTGTTTACAACCCTGAGCCTGGAACAGACCGCCGTGCCTTAATCAAAGGCATGAAAGGAGAAGTAAGTTGTTTTTTAAATACAAAATATTATGAAACATAATAATGATTTAATAATTTTACATAAACCAACAAGTGACTAATCAACATTAATAAATAAATATAACATACATCTATGGTCAAGGATTTGTTTTAATGAATTAAATAAAATGGCACTAGCACACATTGTATGTATATGTCACAGCCAAGTGGTATAATCAGCCAATCAATTGAATGGCCTTCAATGAAATTGAATGGTGCCATTCAATTAAAGGGCTAGTCGCCGAATTTGTCGGTAGATTGTACTACTTGGCTGCGACGTATACATTTACAAAGATAATTAATAAAAATTACAAATTAATTTATCAAATGATTTTAATAATTGATATTTATTTTGATAAATGATAAATAACATGTTTACTTAATATTATTTTGCAATTGTAAGCATGGTAAACAAATGTTTTGTAATAAACATTATGTAATAGATTGTCCACCAATGGAATTCTAAAGAAAAAAAATTTTACTTTAAATGAAATCTTGTTGGTTTATCTCTTTTTCTTTGTATATTAGTACAGTTAAGACCAATATTTACCAGTTAAGAACAAGTTTTAACTAAATACTTTTGTTAAAACTAGAATTAACAAATGGACAAAATTGTATATCATTTAAAACCAGTTCCCACTAGACAAGATGCGTTTTTCTGAACCTCATCAGTAAAAAATAACTTTTAATTTCTGACCTATATGGAATAAATAACTTTATTGTTTATCATTTTTAACAGACTACAAAAAAAGAAGGTTCTCAGTTTGACCTGTATGTATTTGTGCGCGATTATCTCGCGTTTGGCTGAACAGATTTTGACGCGGTTTTCAGAAAAGTATTTTTAGTGTTATCTTTTATACAAAAAATATCAATATCACTAAAAAGCATCAAATAAAAATCGGGCGGACGTTTTCCGTAGGTTATTAATTAAATGATAGGCACCCAACTTCAATAGCATTTTCTTGAATAAGTTGCTTTTGAGATAAGTAATATTTTTTAAGGTTGAAGTCGGTTCTATGTTTTTTTTTTAGTTTCTCAAATCTGTTTGTGATTGACGGTAGCAGGTACATCAACAAGTTTGAGGGTCTTGTTTGTCAATAAATTGTGATTAAATAGTAACAAATAGTGATATATAACATATAAATAGTGACACTACTTTAAGAGATGTTGGAATATCTTAGTGTGCCTGCTAGCTAGACGTCTAGGTAGCAGGCACACCAAAAACAATATTTGTATTAGTTTGAATTACATATCAAAAAGTTGTCACTAAATAGTGACTACTATACAATGAACTTTCAATCAAGGGTCGGAAACCGGTATATTTTTCGAAACGTTTTCATCTTAAATACCTAAATAACACTGTTTCGGTTTCGTTCGAACAGAACGATATAAAAAACGATTTTGGAAAAAAACAGAATTATATTGTTTTCGGTTAATAAAACGTTTTTAATCATTTATTTTGCGTTTTTTTGCATCGCATACTGTAAATAACGTAATAAAATAAATGTACGCCGCCCTTACAGCCCGCGCGGCACCGTCTTGCGGATTAAACCGGTTTTTTAAAGCGTTCTCATTTCGTTTTCGTTTCGAACGCAATCTTGCCCAAAGAACCATAAGAAACGTTTTAAAAACGTTATTTTGAATAACGTTTCCGAGCCCTGCTTTCAATTCACTCACTTGATAGAATTCGAGATATTTGTGATTATTGATGTGCCTGCTAACTTGACACTTAAAGTAACAGCAATTAGTAACAAACTGGTAAGAATTTGAAGCTAATATATATACAAAATAATTGTGACAGGATACACGGATTTCTTAATTGTTACTCTTTTAAACTAAATAATAACTTCTTACTATATCTTTGATTGATATTAAACTTTACTTTTGTGGTTAGTACCATTGAGTTAATTAGTGTTAATCTAAATCAGTCTTAATAGGGATGATAACCGGGTAAAAAAAAATCTATTTAATCTGGCAGTTAGATAATAGAAAAATATGAGATACGTTTTTTTACTTATAATAACAAGAAATAGCTTAGATAACGGGCATTAAAATTGAGGAGTGGGGCTCGCTACGTCACAATTTTGTAGAAAACGTACTAAAGCGTGACGTCATACGACATTTCAACTCAACGTATGCGTAATTTAATGATTATGAGAAAAAAAATACGTGTTTAATATTTTTCAACAATCTACCTGACGGACAAACTAACAAAAATTAGTCGTCATCCTTATTTTTATATAAGACAATATAAAGGAATTGTAAGTCACAGATTTTAAAAATATTAATGTTAATAGTCAGGTATAAATCAGTCATAACTACGTAATATAAAAGGTAAATGTTTGTGTACTACGTGCCATTAGTGCTACTATTTATATATGCAACGATATATCGGTAAACTGATATATACCATCGCCCAAAAATATCAACACGAAATAATAGGTATCAGTCGATTAATACCTACATCAAACCCAATATATAATCATACAAAGAGTTAATTAGTTGTCCATATTATAACATCCAACGGCTGATCTTTAAATGTGTCATTAGCAGAGATCGGAATTAGGTAGAGTTATTTATGTACTTGCATCGAAATGTTGATATTAATGTGGACCTTCCCAGGATTTCTTTATTTCTTTCTTTCATTGATGTAAGTTTGGCAACGTCGTGCGTGCAGTAGTTTAAATTGTGTAAAAGTAAATAACTTTTTATTTAAAAAATCACGGAATTTTTTCTGCTCTTTAAAATTAATCTCGGGATTTGAGGCTTATCCACTTTATTCTTTCGCTGTATGAAATCAGTGTAAGTACATGAATAACTCTACACTGGTCATTAGTGAGAAAATTGTTGTACTTATTTATTATAATTATTTCAGCTGATACTAAATTTATTAGTAGAGGCCGTATTTTTACATTATGTACTGGACTTTTTTTAAAATTAGTTTATAATAACATTTACATCAGGAGTTTATAAATAAGAGGATTTACTTAAAATCTAAATAATATCCTTAATATACATTTTTGAAGCAATAATCAATATAGACTGTATGTATTTTATAAAATCTACTTTTGTGTGTGGTTCCTCCCATTAAAGAATTTTAACTGTTTGTACTTATTTTCAAGAATATTAAAAAATCTGTGATTTATAGTTCCAAAAATGGACTGACATAGAAATTAAGACTGATTTCCATTGACACTTCTTTAGTCTATGGTACTTACCACATCACTAAAGATACATTTAAACCTTATTGCAGCACCGTAAAGTTAAAAATTCATCACACGTCTATGAACATTTATTAAGAAGTTATTATTTAGTTTTAAAGAGTAATAATGAAGAAATCTTTGAATTTGTATGTATCATATGAATCTCAATTTGAGTCACAATTATCATGTGTATTTATTAGCTTCAAATTCTTACCCATCAATTTCAAACTTCAAATTAATACGAGGCGTATTTCCTGCCTGCGACCTATTCATTATAACATTAGAAAAAAGAGGATCACAGAAGCAGCAGTGCTAAACATTTTATTTTCAAGATAAATTTTAAAAATATGTAATAGTTTTATTGAAACTTTGAACATTAGGTAGTCTGAAAAATTTGGGCAATTTTCCATTTTCTCGGGGTTTTGTGGAGGCTAGAATTTTCGAAATTCATCTTTTACTCTCAAGCCAACATGGAACTAAGACTTTCTATCTGATGTTTTGATAAATTCTAATTGTAAGTGTAAATAATTAGAATAGAATTTAGTGATATTTATACCCAGGAAAGTAAGGTAAACAGAATTAAAATATTATTATTACTTTTATAACATTTATTATTAGATTATTGATTTAGATATATTATTAGATTAAGATATAAGAGAAGATATTGGAAAAACTTCGTGAAATGTCACAGGTAATTGTTGTAGGCCATTCGGACCTACACCGGAATCGTCCATATTTAGCAAAACTTAACATCAAAAAGATAACAACTAAACCAAGACTATAAGAAAACAACAATAAAACAATAACAACTCAATCACGGAATACGGCATAACAACAAGAAAGGCAATAACATTCACAATTAATGAGAAATCCAAATTACGTATTTTGACTATTATGAATACATCATAATCTGACAAAATTAAAAAGTTGTACTGCCCAAACGTTTGAATGGATTAGGCAACGATTTAAATTTGGTAGAGTTATAGTGACATGAGAATCGTGCCGAAACTATCCAACCCTGCTTCTGTGGGTTCTTTATTGAAATAGTTATTAAATCTTTTAAGTTAGTAGAATACTCATAAATTTGTTTAATAGATAGCTTAAACGACAACTGTTAAGTATAGCAGCTGGTATGTTAGTGGAAATGTAGCTGACAGCTAAGTCAGTCTTAAGAGTAACATAATTGTTAATATTTTGTCACAAAGTATACCATAAAAATAACTTTATTTAACTTCTGTCTAATGCTATAATGAATGGAGTATAGACATCTAGCTATCAGGCACACTAAGATATACCAATATTACAGTGTCATTATTTATATGCTATGTATCAATATTTACTCACAATTTATTGACATAATAAGAACCTCAAACTCGTTGGTGTGCCAGCTACCTTGACGTTTAGCTAGTTTTAACTAAAGGTCGAAGTGACAACTATTTGTATCTGAAAATCAAATATATCAATGGCAGTATAGCATTGAGAATGCAACATTTATCAAATTTAATAATTAGAACAAAATGTTCATCTTTATAGAAAGTTTAAAATATTTGTAGAAATATTTCTTTCCACTGTTTAGGTAGATTTCCTGAACATTGATGAAAATACGCTTTGTAGTAGCTTCAAAAAATTGCTTTAATAAGTAATAAGTGATTGAAAAATTCGTCAGTCCTATTAAGTCCTGGGTGGCTCAGTGGTTAGAGTAGCCGCGCTGATTGTTAAAGTTGGGTTCGAATTTAAGAACAAAGTGGATTTTTAAGCATTTTTCATTAAGAATATTTTTCAGTTTGCATTGTGAATGCAAATTTTATCAAATATAATAAATATCGATGGTAAATTCTAGTTTCTAAGTACTTCTATTTTTAACAAAAGCATTTAGAAAATACTAGTTGTAACTAGGAAGAACGCTTTCTATCTAAAAACTGGTTTTGACTGTAACATGTAAGTTAATAATTATGTAAATTAATGCAAAAATATAGTGTTGACCCTTCTATAGACCCAGACAATCATTTCTATTTTTTTTTTTCAGGTACAAGACTTAGCGTTTGCTCACATACAAAATCAAGTAGTGCTAGCATCAATTGACGAGCACGGTAGTTTTTATGTTCATGAAATAGAAGCAACAGATAGTGGTCTCAGGTAAGATATTTTATTGTCATTATATATACTCTATACTGCACTCAACATTTTACATAAAAACAAGTAAATAAATTTTCTTGTAACAAATTGGGCTTATCTCTAGTAGATATCTCTTCCAGCCAACCTAGAAGTCGTGGGAGAGTAAGATGTAAGCAGGTGATAAAAGTTCAGTTATATGATATTACGGTTGGAAATGTTATATCTACACACTAATATTATAAAGAGTAAAACTTTGTTTGTTTGTAATTTATAGGATCAAAAACTACAAGACAGATTTTATAAATATTCACCATTCAAAAGCTACATTATCCACGAGTAACATAGGCTATATTTTATTGAGGAAAAAAATAGGGTTCTATAAGATATTTGGGTTTTTCGGACACAAGGTTTAAAAGATCAACCAGAAATGTTACTTATTTTGCGTATGCTGCCTAAACTATAATAGATAGTACCATAAAATATTCTAATTAATTGTAGATCTTATAAATATCTACAAAAAAGTCCGCGACACACCACATGACAGATTCGTTCGTGGCGTGATATTGTTTACATCGTATTTCCAACGTTTTTGCTTATTTTGTTATTTTAATGTAAATATAAGTATTCTACATAAAAAACATACACTTTTTAATTGCATGCTAACTCCGGTGCTTTTCTATTTAATTAAGTTCAATGATTTGAAAAAAATTAAAAAAAAAATTATTTGTCAGATTAAGTAAATCCCTTCAGATAATCGTCAGATTATGAGATATCACGTCTGGGGCATAAAGATGAACGATATATATCTTAATCTGATGCGCTTGAGTATTTCAAAATGGCGATTTTTTTTGCACATTCTAATAATGGTCACGCGTTTGCGTCACATCCAAATCGTCAGATTATTATATGATAGCTTTTTTTAGGTTCACTTGACATCCCCTCAAAAAATCTGACGCGCTCGATAATTTTTTTTTTTTTTTTTTTTTCATTTTAACCGTTACATATAACCACCCCCATCATGGAAACGATCAGATTAACATACGACCGTTTTTAAAAATGCGTAGGACATGGATGATATTAATATCTGACGCGCTCGAGTATGTCCATACAACAGTATTTTTTTTAATTTTTAAAAATCTATAGCCGCTTCCCCCACCGATGAAAAGGTATATATTATATGAAACTTTTTTTTTGTTATCATCTAAGCTTCGCAAGCCAATAAGTGTCTATGAGGCTCGAGTAAATCCCGATTTAGCATCGTGGGCTCCCCTACTATAAATGTCGTTATCTACATGAAGCATCAATATGTAGGTTCTATGGTCTTTACGCGAGCGTAGCGTCATCCTTTCGTTCATGATTACAACATAGACAAATGAATTTCACAACAGTACCTTGAATAAAAACTTGAAAAATTGTTTTATTCAAAATATCGAGTTACGTCGAAACTCTTATTTCAAATGTCGTTTGTGATGTGAGCTTTCGCGTCCTGTGAGGTTACTAGTTTTGCAAATAACCCTGTATATTATTTACCTTTGGCTACTGTGAAGTAAGCATAACCACAAAATACTTATTTAGATATATTTTGAAAAACACTTACTTTTCCAAATCTTTTAGTTTGTACGGCGAACAGGCGTGGATGTTTGGCTTTATGGTCAGAGTTACAACAGTTGTATTTTCAACCAAATTATAAGTTAAACTGACCCTATATTTAATACAACCCACATTTTTTCCTTCCCTCTATTATTAAAACCTATTATTGGAATATATGTTATTATTACTGATAAAAAGTATTTTCTCTTTTTTCCTTCTCCTTATATTAAATAAAAATATAAATAGTATGATATTGTGAATTCAAATACGAACCATGCAACCTCATTTTTTATAAAATTTTGTAATTTGTTGCAATGAGTGGATGAAATTCATAGTAAAATTTTAGATCCATGCTTCTATTTGACTATTTGTTTTAATCATAAAGAAATCAAACAGTAATCATTTAAACCAGATACCACAGGGTCTTTAGAGTATTTTTTATAATTCAAAAAGTTTAAGTTAAAATGTCTTATTTCAAATAAACTTACTTAAAGTACTTTTGAATCATCCAGCACATTTTTACCTACTATTCGTTCAGGACGTCTGTTGGCTGATAAGAAGAACAGCGAAAAAACCCACCAGCTCTAACAGAAGTCAAATTTACAAAAATCGTGTCATTGCTAATTCAAAGCACTACATAGTATAAAACAAAGTCGCTTTCTCTGTCCCTATATGTATATATATATCAATATTTATTTATGCATAAATCTATTTTTCTATTATTTATGTATAAGTGTTTTTTCTTTATCGCCATACACTTTGCTTCCTGTTTCTGTTTGGTAGATTGGTAGAGAATGCCCTTGGGATTAAGTCCGCCGTTTGCTGTTCTATGCAATGAAGATTAAATAAATAAATTATCTAGGCTCATCCTACATGCGTAGCAATACGAACGCGAGAACATTTCGTCTACACCCAAATGTCACTTTTCTCCAGTGCGCCCATACAATACTCTCGATCAAAAAAAAATGTCATCTAGCTACAGACAAAGCTTTTCGGGAGCCGTGGTTAAACGAGCTCAGAACTCGTTTAACCACGGCTCTGTGCGTTATGTACGTACATGTCGTTGAATTAGGCTGATCGAGATAGCCGGCATTTTTTGATTTGGTCATCAATATCCGCCATATCCTTCAATGCTTAACGTTTGACGATTTGCCCGACTATACTCAGGCCAATCGATTTTGTAACATGACCAATATACTATTACAGCAGAGATGACGATCAACTTCGGTTTTCTCCTACTTCCCATCTCTGTATGTACGCAAATAAAATGAAGATTTAATAATAATAAATTAATTAAACAATAAAAATCGACAAATACGTTACTTTCGTCAATCTGCCAAACTTTTAACCGGGCCGATCATGATTTTCCTGGCCAAATCAAGAATGCCCGGGCAGGTCTCGATCGGTAACATTTCAATGATTTGCCGACGACATACATACCAGATGCACCCTGGTGGCGGAGGAGCACGTGGAGTCGGAGGCAGCTGTGTCCGGGGCAGGAGGCGCCGCGCACCGCGTGGTGTGGTGCCCGTATATACCCGACGACGACGACCAGCCAGACGACGACGTCGCCAGGCTGCTGCTCACCACCCATGATAACACAGGTGTCTACACCACACGTACCGGGTTTTGCCCTACCCATATAGTTATCAACAGCTTTTAAACGGTTCCTTTACAGACCCTTTGCCGACCCTTTACACTTCACAGGTTCCGTGTTCATGTCAGACTAAGGTGTGAAAGACAAAACGTCAATAAAAGAATATACAAACGCCACGAAACCGTTTAAAAGTTGTTTCATTTACGGATAGTGCGTGTAAATATATAATAAATTAATATGATTACATTGTGATAGAAAAAAATGATTTTAATAGCATTAAGATAGCTTAAGGTAGTGTGTACACATGTAATCAATATCGTCACATTCGAAACGATCTTTTGCTAAGTATGTGACCCTTCCCTATCGGCAGTTCTATCACAGAACTAAAAATTATGATCGATCTGTCAAAATTAAGCTTTAGGAGTGATTCTTTAATGTTAAAAGTTTGGCCGCTGTATCGTATATCGTACTAATTAACATGACACCTGAAATCGTCTCCTATTTCTTCGAAAACTAAGCTTCGTCTATTTTAGAAATATTAATACGTTTCCAAAGGTCTTTCTTTCGATAATTTATGATGCAGCGGAGGGAGGGACCCTGCCTCCGATGAACGGATAATCTTCGCGGATATGATTTTAACAAAATTATTAATACGATGCGAAATTTTCCGAATTCTCTTTCGTAAACAAATATAGAATAGGATCTCAGGTGTGATGTTGACGTGTGCTGTGTCCAGCGCGCATGTGGAACATCCGCACGGGGGCGGGGGGCGAGGGCGAGGGCGAGGGCGGGGGCGTGGGCGCGCTGGGGGGCGCCGCGTGGGGCGCGGAGCACGGCGCGCCGCTGGTGGACGCGGCCTTCTCGCCCGACGGCACCGCGCTCGCCACCGCCGCCGCCGACGGATACGTCATGTTCTACCAGGTACACTGTCCAAGTATATTTAACTACTTAGTCGCGTCTTTCTGACAATTATTCGAATTTATCTCGCCGTAAAAACGATCTTTGAACTTAATCGAACATTTAAAAAAAAGAATTAGTCAAATTGGTCCAGGCATTGTTGAATTATGCGCTTACCAAGATATTTCGCGATTCATTTTTATATTAACAGATACAGTAAATTTCTCCGAAATATTAATGTAATGTATTTATTATGTAATAAAGAATAATTTAAAAATATTTTCAACGTTAGTAGAATACCATATTACTCGCAAATTATCATGATTATAATTCCCTAAGTTACGAGATGACACATATTTATTTGCCCATAAAAGAGTATGATTTCAACAAGAAATAAAAAAATATATTTTCAATAGTCGCTTTGTGATTATTTTTCTGACGAAAAAATTCTACGATTTGGCTGCAATAGACCCCTTACAAATGAGCCTGATACAAATACGAGAAAAACGGAAATAATAAGATATAAGCCTGGAATATTTTTAATAGAGTTTGTGAGCCAATTACAAGAGACTATATTTAAGAATCCATCTCTCATTTTAGCTACGGAAGGTATAAAAAAAACATCAGGTCAAGAAACCTTCATTTACTCACGCAAAATTACTAACACGATTTTTTTCACTAATTTTGGTTTTATTTATCATAGCGATAGTGAAAATTACTGAAATCCAACTAAAAATATTACAGGAAATAGTGATTTTTATTAAACTTTATTTTTCACTTAATTTTTTTTTTTGTTGTAGTTTAATATAATAAAACTTTTATTTAAATATCTATGAGTGGATTTTAATGATATTTAGTAGAATATGTGTTTCACTCAAAAGTCTGCTGCATATATTGCGTGTGATATACCAATGTTCCACGGGAATATTGGTATGCAATATTCCCATGGAAATTTTCATTGGATTCAAAACAAAATATACTTAACGCAATATAGTAATATCGATTGAAGTCGTATTTCATTGTTAATATTATTGATTTTTTTACAAATATTTTTAAATATTTATTGTCCGTGTTATATAAAAATATGAGTTTCCAAATATAATATTAGGAAGATTTATGTATTTCATGGAAGTAACATAAGTAACAGTGTGAAAATACGTAGAAGTCACTTTATATGTATTTTGCTTATCATGCCATTGAGAAATTAAAGGAATTTGATTTTTTTTTTACTAATAATCCGAAAGAAAATATCGTTGGACTAATTCATATATTAAAAAGGAAATATATGATACCCTCATAATAAAAAAAACAGCTGTTATGTTTTAATGTTTGATCTCCATACAGAAAGTTGGTATTTGTATCAGGCTAAATATGATGTAGCTTTTAAATATTTTTTTTATGTAACGTACGTCACGCGGGTGTTTAGACAAGCTTCCAGCGTATTATTAATTAGCGGGACTTATATCAGATGTAATAGGTAGATGATGGAACACCACTACAGACGAGTATATATATGAGGCGCGTGTATATTGCAGGTGTACATGCACAACGAGAGCAGCCCGCGCTGCCTACACAAGTGGCAGCCGCACGCGGGCGCGCCCCTCTCGTGTTTGTTCTTTCTGGACAACCACAAACAATACAACACAGAGTTAGTATACATATATATATGTCGAATTCTAGAATAGGGGTGTAGACAACTTCCTTTTTATATTTTTATTTTATATGTAGGTATACTAAAAAGTGACGCCATAACAGAAGTGGCGTACTCGCGGGAAGTTTTGAAAATTAAATTTATTATTTAAAAAAATGTATCAATCATATAATAAGTTACAATTTAAAATAAATTTAACTTACTAAATTTCCTGCGGAAACATCACGCCTGTCATGGCGTTGCTGTGACGTCACAGCACTCTGAAACGAATGTCGTTCTATGTATGCATGAGGTTGAATTCTCTAAGTTTTGATATGAGTTCTGATAAGGAGGTCGTGACGTCACGCGCGCTGTGTGCGGCTAAACTGTACAGAGTTCAATTTATAATAAATAGTAATTATTATACACATTTTATATTATTGTAAAATATAATAAGTAAGATAAGGAATATCGATAATTTTAACGTTCTAAGTAATAAAGATGATGATTTTTACAACTTTTGGGATTCAGCTACATCGTAGGTCTGTTCATAGGTTATAGTTTATGTGGGTGAAGTCGCGGGAAGGAAGTTATTATTAAATGTGACCATATATAATATTGTTTCTGCACCTTTTACATTAAAATCACCGTGAGAATTTAATTCGTGTAGAATACTAATTAATTTATTTTTGTAAAAGGGGTCGTTTTATCGTTTTAAAATATTAGTTTTAAAATTTGACGCATGCTCAACGTGAATTCGTTCGTGCTAAGGGAACAGAAATTGGTTGATCGAACTAAGGAATTTAATGGAAAAGAATTATGGGATAGAGCGGGTTAACGGACGACCCCACGGAGGCTGAAACTTTATTTCGGTTGGAAAGAGATAGGAGATCGCGGCACTCTTCATCCTTCTTTTTCGCCGATACGCGTCCAGGAAAAACTCGGGGAGAAGCGAATCATTGAAATATTCCGTGATCCTCTCTCTCGGCGTTAACTACGCGAGCACAATTTTCTCTCCCTTTCCGATCGAACGACGGCTTCCCTGCTCCGACTACGATATCTAACAGCGTGGGGGGAATTTCGCAGCGTTCAATTTTGGAAGTTCGCCGTGACCGGCGCGGAGAACAACACGATCATCAAGATATGGTCGTGCAAGTCGTGGAACTGCCTGCAGACGATCAGGTTCTCGGCGGGGCCGGGCGCGGGTGGTGGGGGGCGGGTGCGGGGGCGGGGGCGCTGGCGCTGAAGGCGGTGGTGGACGCGAGCGCGCGCTGGGTGGTGGTGTCGTGCGGGCAGGCGCGCGCGCTGTACGTGCTGCACGTGCCGCGCGACCACGCTGACCGCGCCGCCGCCTGCCGCGCCGTGGCCGAGCTGCTGCTGCCCTACCCGGTGCTCAGCTTCTGCATACTGGACGCAGGTCGGTCGCTGCTACACCACTACACTCCCACCGATATACCCCTATCCCCTTTTGCTAGAAATCGCTTTCATTCGCTTAGTTAGCTCATACGTTTGTCTTTGTCTTTGCATACTTCAGTTCTTCTTCCTTTGTTTTTTAATGTGTTGCCTGTTTGCGTTTACACGATTCCGCCAATGTCACGTTAGCGGCCTTTACACGTAAAGACACAATAACAAAAACATATTTTGAGGTCGTAAAATAAGAAAAATTATACGTGGTCTCTTATTTTACACGAGCGACCGAGTAGAGTCGTTATCCATATATAAAATTCCGAATATTTTTAAAAAGCTCGTGGTTTATATCATAATTTTAATATACAAAGTCCTTAATTGCAGTTTACTAAATTGATTTTATCCCTTGACGCATCCGTTATGGCCAAACAGTAAATATATATGACACATTACGCAAATGCCCAGCGCTAGGCGCCGCACAATGCATATGTCCCAACTTTAGGCGTTGCCCAAAATCGTTAGATGGCTCCTTCGTTTTCACCAATGACAATGCCCAATTATTTAGGTGTCAGACTTGAACGACTCCTAAATTTAGTGAAAACAGGCATTAATAACAGCGCTCGGCTTGCCACTCCAACGAGAATTCCGGCTCGAAGGACCATAACAAAGACTTAGTAATGATGTATTTTAATGTAAATCGCGACGTTGTTCTTGCGTGCGATCGTCTCACGGCCAAAGACCTAAGTGGGGGTGCGGGGACGTCAAAACGTCGTCTCTAGTTCTTTAAAGAGTCGGTCAGCGTGTGCCGCCACGTGCGTTGGAGTGGGAAGCCGAACACAGGCAGAAATGCGATGGCCGGTCAAAGCCAATCGCAGATGGCGTTGTCGGAGCTTCGGCTCACGTGTGGCCCTAATAAACATAACATAAATGATTAATGCCATAGGCATCGACGTTTCCTCTTCTACCTCAAACTTCTTAAAACTACGAGATAGCAGTGAAAACTTTGTTACCGACTGAGAATCGTTACCTATTCTTTGTCTATATTTTCGTGTTTTTATGTCTTTTGAGATGAACTTGTGACAGGTACCTTCCCCGTTGGTAGGTCTGCTCTGCTGTAACAAAATTTCATCATACACCATATCAGTTGAAACTCCACGAATAATTATTAAAAGAAATATCATATGTCTTTTAAAAGAAAATATACATATATATTTATTGTTGAATGAAGCAGGAAAGTTTATATTTGTGACTTATTTCACAGAGGAGGAGCAAGTTAAGTGTGAATCGAGCTGCGACGATCCGTTCCATACGAACGGCTCAACGGCCGACATGCCCGACTCGCCCGACGACTTTGATCTCCAACAAGATGTGAGTGTTCGATTAAAACGAAAAATTCTTAATTTTTATATAGTTATAATTGTTGTTGTCATTTAACTGCTAAAATAACTTATAAAAAACAAAAAGGATATATTACCTACTATATGAAATTGTAAAGGCAGCCACTCAGCATATGTCGGATGTCTTAGACAGTGTGATCTTCCGTGGCAACCTTAGGTTCTTGAGGGCACCACTACGCCACGCTCATAACTTAAATGGTTGTTTAATATGGTATATATTGATTCTGGTTCAGGAGGACGCGGTCGGCAGCGGTGGTGAAGGCGCGGAAGAGAGCGACAAACGCGTCCGCATCAGACTGTACATCGTACAACCTAAGGGATTACAGGAGGCGGAACTCACATACTGCCCCCCACCACTGCACCGCGTGGGTTAGTATAACACGGACGCCACCTATATCATACAACACTTCTGTACATTCTTTACTTGTAAATAGTCTGCGCTACTCAAATGCAATTGTGTTCGGTGACGAACTATGACATAGTTTCATATTAATATTGTTAATACTCAACTAATTCTATTCTATGTTAAACTGGAACTATCAAACCAAAAGGGGCAATTATGATAGAATTTGTTAGTCACAGTTTGAAGCCTGAGAAAATTGTTTTCTCTTTCAAGCTTGACTCTTTCCAAAATAGAGTAATCATATACGTATAAGGAACGTGTGTATGTATGTCAGAAGCGGAAGCGAGCGTGGAGACAGGAGTAGCGTCCAGCATCCTACAGCAGCAGAGCCAGCAGCTCAAGAACCTGCTCATGCGGTCACAGGTACCAATCCCGGACGCTTTAATATCGACCGTTGTCATTTTCTTCCATATTACTTGGTATCTGCACAAAAATATAATTTGTGTTAATTAGCATTCACATTAAAGAGCACTCAATCTATGTTTACTGCAGCTGTATCAATAATTGTTATAATAATTGCCAAACTGCATTGGCGGACGCCGCCGACAGAATAAGAATCAGTCCAACCTTATTTTTACTCTAATTTTGAGCGTAAAATTGCAATTCTCATGACTTTTGCTTGTGGTTATCACATAATAATAAGACTTCCGTGCTACTTTTCGTTATCGATGTTTGGATGTTTGTCGGTTAATCACGCCGAAAATACTGAACGTATTATGATGAAACTTGGTATACAGATAGGGTATTAGCTGACTTAGATAATAGTTTTTATCCCACTAAACATTTCCCTAGGAACCGCGCTAGTGAAGCTGCTGGCGAAAGCTAGTAAAATCATAAAAGAAACAATGACACAATAATTTGATTTTCCTTTTTTTTTTGGTTCAAACAATATTCGTACTTTACGTGAAGCGTTAAGTGTCGTTATCGTTTGCAGACGCAGCCGGGCAGCTTAATAGTGCCACGTGCCGAGTCGCCCGTCATCGCCCCGCCGCTGAATCTCATGACCCCCGACGCCTTCAGGTCGATGTCGTTAACATATGACACATGTTTAGTTAGATCAGAGGTTCCCAAACATTCTTTTCTAGTAGACCATTTTAAAAAATTTATTACTTTCGATGCTGCTACATTTTTACCATATTCCCAAAATTCGTCCAAAATGTGAAGATCCAACGATGGAAATTGGCGCCCTATTATTATTTCACGCCAACGTAGACCACCGTTGAATCCCTCGAGGACCACTTAGCGAATCACTGAGTTAGATCAGTAGGAACGACTTATCATTCTCAATTTCTGTAATTGATTTTCAATTATGGGAAGTCTGTTGGAGTTGCCGTTCAAAATCGTGTCCGGTTTGTGGAGTTCCCGCAATATTTAGATCTCCACCGTTGATGCATTTAGGTTCGAAATTGTAAATTTTATGACAGTTGAACAGCGAACAGAGATATTTTTATTATGTTCTGATGTACAATGCAATAGTTTCGAGTTACGGTGATGGTGATTTTATACTAATTGTCTGTTATTATTTAGTTCGCCGGGTAAACGCGACGAAGATGACCCTCCACTGTCGGCCACGCCCGACGTGCCCGGGGCGCCGCGCGTCAGTAACCAAGGTGACGCATCAACACCCACTCATTATTGTTTTATTACATTTTCATTGGCATGATTATAGGTGAAACAAAACCGGCCAACTTGAGCTCGGTTTGACACTAAAAGTGACATTAAAAATATATATATATATACAAGTTTCTTAGCGCGATTTCGTTCTTGTTATCTCAAAATACATGTCATGTCGTGTACATAGATATTCAATATCGATGATGGTCATATTAATTTGAGCTATTAACTATGTCTTTTTCTTTGTCAGCCAGTCTCGTACCTGGTACGGCATGGCGTTGTAGTCGTAGTCGTCGTTTATAATAAATAACATTTTGAAATTTCCTATATATTACTATATTATTATTAAGCCTACATTTAGTGAGCACTTAACTAGTAGTATAGACGCTAATATTATCTGTTTAATGTCCCTACCGAAACTGACCTTTCCAACCGAAACCGAATTTTCTTTAATCGGCCGTACATTCACGTCCCCATAGCCTATGTTCATCATTAATAATCAACATAGGCCAGTGTCACTGATACCCCTCTATCCCCTAGTTTGTGGTAACAATTAGGTTGATGCCTCTAAAAGTTCTAAAATTGGGATAAGGTTATCTGAGCAGTTACATGGAATCGTAGTCCATTCATGTTTTACACAGTATTAAAAAGTGGACTCCTGACCTTGAACAAGTTGTTGAGAGCTCGGGACGCCTCAAAATACCTATTCTCACAGCTTGCTAATTTGTCATATAGCTCTTAAATAATAATCAAAACGAAAAAAAATAATATTTTTTATCTTAACAACAAATTAACGCCTTCTAAACTAAATTCAACATTGTGTATAAACACTTCAATTAACAAAGTTTCACTTATTGCCACGGGATTTCTTTCGCGGATGGAAATTTCTGCGCCAAATATGATCAATCACAGCGCGAGAATGCAGTTTCGCCGAAAGTCGACCGAAACCGAACCCGAACATTCGGTCCGACACTAAATATCAATGTACGTCTGCGTAGGTGTGAACGAGGCGTCGGGCACGGTGACGAGCGGTGGTGGGGGCGGGGGCGGGGGCGGGGCGGAGCTGCACAAGCTCACGTCGGGCGGCTCCAGCCCCAGTCGGGAGGTACAGGAGATCATGGGCCACAACGACCGCGCCTACTACAAAGACCACATGGTACACATACGATACACACGCTTACAGCTGTCACAATAAACTATTGAATATGTTGGAAATAATAATTTATATGTAATTATTATATTCGATCAGTTTCGCACTCACAATTTTTTTACTGAAAAATGTTTTTAATCAAAAATGCGAATAGCGAAAGGTCATGAGTTCGAATCCCATATCGGAGTGCCAGGGACCAGGGAGATTTAGGTTTAACATGATCGTAAGAAAGTTTTTAATGTTTCAAAACTGCCAAGTAGCCGATTATATAGATATGAATAATGCCTTATTGTCTTTGAACCATTTTATAAAACCTTCAAGTCATAGGTGTCCAGAATTGTAATCTTTTCGTGAATTAAACCATTCACGAAAAGATTACAATTCTGGGATTTAAAAAGATCAAAAAGATTACAAAAGCTTTAAACCATTTATAAGTGCAGAAGAATCTGCCGATGACTTCTTCTGTGTCTCCGTCAAAATTGACTAATCTACAAGTTTGATGAGATAAAATTCTATACTATAATTTATTTATCCATAAATAATGTTATTTTTCGCACAAATATAATTAAACTGATGACTTACTTCAGAGCAAAAGTAATATCAAAATAATCCCTTGCAATCTGTAATCTAATATATCAAATAAGTGAAAACAACTAAATGTGCATTCGTCATTAATCGAAATGTTACTTTAATTCAATGATGTAAAACGTAGAAGCAAGATTGTACCTTGACCTTTGCTTGCTTCATTTATGATTAGGAAGAGAATCAGGAAGTGGAAGAAGAAGTAGACTCTGCGGACGTGGTAACGAGCGACGCGGTAGCGGAAGCGGACGCGAGCGACGATTACCCGCGACCTGAAGTATACAACGCTACAGAGACCGCTCCCACTAATATCAGTATGTATACGCGTCAGCGTATTCTTGTATATAAGAATGCATTATTTACAGGTTAATAATAAACTTTATTTTGATCAAAACATTCTCGAACTAGTTCTCAAATAAAGAGTTACTATACTTTTCTTAGTCATACGTATATGTTAGTCAGGCCTCGGCTAGGAAGAGAGAGAAGATTACCTGAAAAATCTGTCGATTAACTTAATACAAAACATATGTGCCTGTCAGTTCTATATTGTCACAATGTCAACTCAAATACAATCATTAGATAAATCCCCTGTCAAAACGGCTAGAATAGTTTTAAGTCCAAGCTTTACATAACAGATATCTTTTAAACTAAACTAATAAATTTTAAAAAACATTGACCCGGGACAATATAGAAAAGTTCATTTTCTGCACAACCCGGGACCTCAGAGATGGCGACACTTTGAAACCGGCGTGCGAACCACTCGGCATCTTGGAATCTAAGCAATGTATGTGATGTTGTTTATTTATTTATTATTTATATCATTTAAAATTAGAAATAAACAATTGGCATTTCAATTTCGTCCTGGTAAAACGTTACCATTTTTTCTTTGGATCTATCCAGTGCATAGTTTTTTTTTTTTTTTATGAAAATAGATTGTGTTGTGTTTGTTATCATCATGAATTCTTATTTTTTAATTTATAGATAGTCTCTTTCTGGTGTAGTGTGATAAGCTTAGACACCTGACATTAAACAAACACTAGCTTTTCGCTATGTAAAATAAAAAGTATAAGCCAAAAACCCCTAAGTAATTGGAAAACAAACTAATAACTTTTGCATACATTCTCACTTTCTTTGCTTTCTCATCTTCCTCACATTACCTAAAAAAATTCTCACCATTTCGATAACGGGACATTTTTTCGACAAAATACGGGACGTCTGATCACATTATCCTGGTAAGCAATTTGGCACAAAACGCCACGGACTTAACTGATAACAAGTTTAAAAAAATAGGATAGACAAAATAAAAGCTTGCATATCGCGATCCAGTGTTGACAGTTTGGCTGTAAAGTGTAAGGTCGTGTGCAGGCAACGAGACACTGTGGCCGCAAATATCTCTCGCGCAGATATCGGAGGCCAACCAGCGCAAGGCCTCCAGCGAGAAGTCCAGCAGCCAGTCCCTCAACACCTCGCTCCTGCACAACGACAGGCTCTCGCCCGCTGACCGCTCCAGGCTACTGGCACTGGACCACAAGCTCGACAAACTCACAGGTAAATATATTACATCTGATATTACTTATGATCATAATTTTTATTGCAGGTTACTTGGACTAATAGGGATGACAGCGCACTGTCCAATTCTTTTATTGTGTTTGTGGAAATTTTGGCATTTGAGTCATCTGCATAAATTGTTAATCTTAAATTCGATTGTATTGTTACCATAAACGCAGCTAAGTCATAAAATATAATGAATAGAATAGGGTTCAGAATCGACCCCTGGGGCACCCAGTTTCCGTATTTATTAGCTCTAGATCTAGTTTCAATAAACTACGACAGAAAGATAGTTTTAAATAGTTTTAAATTGACATGACTAATTCGGTAATACTTTTAACTTTTTTAATAGTATTTTGTAATTTAATGTGTCAAAAGTAGAACTTAGATCAAGAAATAGACCTAAACTTAAAACAAATTAATACTGGAGGTACTCTAGTACATAAACATATTCTCTTATAAACTTTAAAAGACATTAGAATGGTAGGAAATGATGTCCGTGATAAGTGAAAAGAAGAATAAAATATAAACCTATTCGCGGTTCCTGTCGGCCCATTCTGCTAATGTTTACGTTATCATTTGCATCATAATAGAATCTAAACGACGTGCATTTTACCATTGCACGGTGCCCAGCACGAAAGTAAAGCCAATATGGCGTCCACTGTGCAGGTCTAATCGGATCTTACTGTGTAGAAACTCATCACTTATTATTATTCTTTATTATTATTTGTGAACCAAATAAAAAAAATCTTCATTAAAACAAGGCACACTACCCATTTAGAATGTTAATAATATTTCTAGCTGTGTATGTAATAGTATGTATTATGTTTGTTTATTATTTTTGATGTCGTTTAATAAAATATTACACTTGAGTGTAATTTACAAATTCAAAGGCAAAAAAAAAAAACAAAACAACGACATCATTCAAGTTTTGAATCATTTTAGTGCGTGAATGTACCTATCAGTGAAAAAATATCCATTTGTAAATGGCTGGATTTGATTTTGTAGCGAAGCGTCAAGCCTGGGATGACACTTAAACTTGTCGCTACGGTTGAGTTTCTCCCCCCGCACACCTCCTTCGATACCTATTTTCGTTTACTGCGCAGGGTTTGCTTTCGTGACGGACACTGTGCATCGAAATTTTCTGAATTTGCGTCCGAGAACAAGTAAAATTTTCCTGAACGAGTGATGAATTATAATATTGGCTGATGTGTACAGAGCTAGTGTCGGCGCAGAGCCGCGAGCTGCGGTCGCTGCGCGCGGCGGTGGGCAGCCCGCGCCAGGCGGTGGACGCCGCGCTGCACGCGCACACGCAGCGCACCGCCGCCGCCGTGCACGACGCGCTCGCCGACGGGTAACCTTACACTCGTTGCCGCGTCGTTCATAGACCGAAATTGCTTTAAAGGGGTTCATGTTACAACTGGGCGTTTTCGCTGAAAATTTGATACATTTATTTATAACTTTTTTAATTTTGAACTATATTTAACACGTGCGATTTGTTAATATTGACTCTCGGATGAGATGAGAAAAAAGCGATACCTAAATAAAAATACCGAGACCGGAATATATCGCATACCTAGTTCTAAACTGAGACTACTCAAAAATTGGAGTGAGTTTTGAGTTAGTGCAATATTCAAATACTCGGTGATCATACGCATCTATCCAACACAACGGTTTCAATAAAGGTTCGGGGATGAGCCGCTAGATAACTTTAGCTTTCTTTTGTTGAATCAACAGCGGTCGCGCTCCTGCCACATAAACAAATGTATTGTCAGACCTCCACATTAGTTTTTTGAGTTGTCTTAGTTTAGATCTAGGTGTGCGATATATTCTTTTTACCGTATAATTTAGTTCTGTTTTCCTGCCTTCGTTCATACTTAATTTGGCGTGGCCGGGTGGTCCGGGCGCAGGTTCGAGCGCATCTCGCGCATCGGCGAGGCGGCCAGCAGCCGCGCCGCGCAGGCCGCCGGGCTGGGCGCCGCCCGCGGGCTGGAGCCCCTCGCGGCCGCGCTGCAGCACGAGCTGGCCACCAAGCTCACCGCCACCGACCATCTGCTGCGCGACAACATCGAGAAGCTGGCCAACAGCAAGGCGAGTGCGGAACGCGACCTCACCTCGCCAACGATTAATTCACTTTATACTATTGTATAGTTCGAATTAATGTTCTTTTTTCTTCTGTAAATAGATGCTGATGGAAAAGTTGAGCACGTCCATAGCGAAGTCCCTATCGGAAATGGTCCGCGAACAGTTCCGCGAGGCGTTAATGGAGAGCGTCGTGCCCGTCGTAGAGAAAGCGCACGCGCACATGTTCAGACAGATCAACGCCGCATTCCAAGCTGGCACTAAGGAATGTGAGTATTGATTCACTATGCTGTTAGTAATATAATCAGAGGGATAATAATTAAAATCGTTTGGCAATAAAGATTATCTGGGTTAAATTTTCTTTTATCCTCACATGATCGATCCATAAAAGATAGGCGAAGTATAAAACATTTTTTTATGTCTTATAATTTTATGCTGACTACATTTTTTGTACAGTTAAACTTATTGTCAAAATTTTTAACTTCAAATGCTTATGCACACATAATGTTCAGATATGATTTTATCGAAATAATTACATTGATTCGTTGCGGTACGTACAGTCGCGGCCAACACGGAGGCGGCGGCCCGCGCGGCGGCGGAGCGCGGCGCGGCGGCGAGCACGGCGGCGCTGCGGGCCGCCATAGAGCGGCACGCGGCCACCCTGCACGCCCTCCCCGCCCCGCCCGCCCCGCAACACTACACCGCCGCCATACAGGACGCCGCGCACACGTACGTATACGCACCGCCGCCCACCACTGCTGCACTACACTACACTACACCACACCGCCGCCATAGAGCGGCACGCGGCCACCCTGCACGCCCTCCCCGCCCCGCCCGCCCCGCAACACTACACCGCCGCCATACAGGACGCCGCGCACACGTACGTATACGCACCGCCGCCCACCACTGCTGCACTACACTACACTACACCACACCGCCGCCATAGAGCGGCACGCGGCCACCCTGCACGCCCTCCCCGCCCCGCCCGCCCCGCAACACTACACCGCCGCCATACAGGACGCCGCGCACACGTACGTATACGCACCGCCGCCCACCACTGCTGCACTACACTACACTACACCACACCGCCGCCATAGAGCGGCACGCGGCCACCCTGCACGCCCTCCCCGCCCCGCCCGCCCCGCAACACTACACCGCCGCCATACAGGACGCCGCGCACACGTACGTATACGCACCGCCGCCCACCACTGCTGCACTACACTACACTACACCACACCGCCGCCATAGAGCGGCACGCGGCCACCCTGCACGCCCTCCCCGCCCCGCCCGCCCCGCAACACTACACCGCCGCCATACAGGACGCCGCGCACACGTACGTATACGCACCGCCGCCCACCACTGCTGCACTACACTACACTACACCACACCGCCGCCATAGAGCGGCACGCGGCCACCCTGCACGCCCTCCCCGCCCCGCCCGCCCCGCAACACTACACCGCCGCCATACAGGACGCCGCGCACACGTACGTATACGCACCGCCGCCCACCACTGCTGCACTACACTACACTACACCACACCGCCGCCATAGAGCGGCACGCGGCCACCCTGCACGCCCTCCCCGCCCCGCCCGCCCCGCAACACTACACCGCCGCCATACAGGACGCCGCGCACACGTACGTATACGCACCGCCGCCCACCACTGCTGCACTACACTACACTACACCACACCGCCGCCATAGAGCGGCACGCGGCCACCCTGCACGCCCTCCCCGCCCCGCCCGCCCCGCAACACTACACCGCCGCCATACAGGACGCCGCGCACACGTACGTATACGCACCGCCGCCCACCACTGCTGCACTACACTACACTACACCACACCGCCGCCATAGAGCGGCACGCGGCCACCCTGCACGCCCTCCCCGCCCCGCCCGCCCCGCAACACTACACCGCCGCCATACAGGACGCCGCGCACACGTACGTATACGCACCGCCGCCCACCACTGCTGCACTACACTACACTACACCACACCGCCGCCATAGAGCGGCACGCGGCCACCCTGCACGCCCTCCCCGCCCCGCCCGCCCCGCAACACTACACCGCCGCCATACAGGACGCCGCGCACACGTACGTATACGCACCGCCGCCCACCACTGCTGCACTACACTACACTACACCACACCGCCGCCATAGAGCGGCACGCGGCCACCCTGCACGCCCTCCCCGCCCCGCCCGCCCCGCAACACTACACCGCCGCCATACAGGACGCCGCGCACACGTACGTATACGCACCGCCGCCCACCACTGCTGCACTACACTACACTACACCACACCGCCGCCATAGAGCGGCACGCGGCCACCCTGCACGCCCTCCCCGCCCCGCCCGCCCCGCAACACTACACCGCCGCCATACAGGACGCCGCGCACACGTACGTATACGCACCGCCGCCCACCACTGCTGCACTGCACTACACTACACTACACCACACCGCCGCCATAGAGCGGCACGCGGCCACCCTGCACGCCCTCCCCGCCCCGCCCGCCCCGCAACACTACACCGCCGCCATACAGGACACCGCGCACACGTACGTATACGCACCGCCGCCCACCACTGCTGCACTACACTACACTACACCACACCGCCGCCATAGAGCGGCACGCGGCCACCCTGCACGCCCTCCCCGCCCCGCCCGCCCCGCAACACTACACCGCCGCCATACAGGACGCCGCGCACACGTACGTATACGCACCGCCGCCCACCATTGCTGCACTACACTACACTACACCACACCGCCGCCTTAGAGCGGCACGCGGCCACCCTGCACGCCCTCCCCGCCCCGCCCGCCCCGAAACACTACACCGCCGCCATACAGGACGCCGCGCACACGTACGTATACGCACCGCCGCCCACCACTGCTGCACTACACTACACTACACTACACCACATCACACCACACCACACCACACCACACCACACTACACCACACCGCCGCCATAGACAGGACGCAATGCATATTTGTATCAATAATAACAGTATTACAAATTACACAATTTGATATTAGCCGTAAAGATACAATAATACTCTTTACATTGAAGTGTTGACTTTTAAACTTTCACAAGTATATATCTATCCTATTAATATTATAAAGGCGAAAGTTTGTAAGTATGGATGTATGGATGTTTGTTACTCTTTCACGAAAAAACTACTGGACGGATTTGGATAAAACTTTACAGCAATATAGGTTATACATCAGAATAACACATAGGGTACTTTTTACTGGGAAAACTTCTCACTCCCACGGGATACCGACTTCCACGCGGACGAAGTCGCGGGCGTCCACTAGTAATATATAAAGCTTAATTACCACTGACTGACTGACTGACTCACTCCATGCTTTTTTCGGGTAGAAAGAGAGGGAAAATGACATTTTCATGTATGAAGAGTGATAATATTTTTTTAAAATGAGTTGAAATGGCATTGGGGTTCAGCCAAAAAACAAAATGGCGGCAAGATAATTTTTTTAGTTTCTACATTATTCACTCTACGATTACGATATTCAAAATAGTCGTAGATGTAGCTAAAAAAATGACGCTGAAAAAGGGTTTGATTAAAAAAACAAAATGGCGGCCGAGATATTTCACCTGGAAATTTGGCATTTTTCGACCTCTGTTCGGGCGATCGTCAATTCTTTTGTGGTGGGTTTGCAGGGGGTATTTTTAGGCTGGCGACTCGGAAATAAAGTCGATTTTCACGTACGGGGAGTTTTCGCTTGCGTGTCAATATGGCGGCGGCGGTGGCGGCCATTTTGTTTCGGCATTGAAAAATCGCCATTTTCCAGTGAGATTTTCTCCAAGATGGCGGCAATATACTGGTTTTCTTTATATGGGGCGGTCGTGGGGCTCGGTAGGATCTTTCCATATTAGTACTAATTTCTACCATTTACGTGGTAGTTTAGGAGATTTTGGAAGAAAAGTAAAATTTGGAAATACGCACTTTTCGCGGAAAACAGACTCGATGCGATGTGGCGTCGGGGGAGCCCTATGACTTTTGGTAGTTTTCGTTTCCGCGAGCTGACAACCCTGGGCTCCACGGTAGAAAACGTGTTTTTCGAGATGCCCTCATAACCCGAATTGTTTGGGAACCTGGGTGGCCAGCGGAGAAAATCTGTGAATGAGGTCCCTTGCCTGATATAGTCGTGACTATGGGAAAATTATGAAACTCGGCAAAATCAATATGGCGGCGCCGGCAGCGGCCATTTTGTGATTTTTTCACTTTTTCGAAAAATTCAAACGCACTTTTAGCACACATGGCAACATTGTAGCTCTTCGCCTGGTATGGACTGGTCGTGAGTCTCCGCTGCCTCTTTCGAATGACGTGAAATTTTTCCCCGATTTTAGGGTAATTTCGAAGATTTACCCCAAAAAGGTGAAAAGTAGAAGGAGCCGTTTGGGAATTTCAAAAATGCTTTTCCTCGACGGAGGGCACTCTCCGAAATGACATTTGGCCATTTTCATCGTCGTCATCTGGCAACCCCGGTGGTTGCGGCGATTTGAAAAATTTTGCCCATTTTTTACTTTGTCGACTCTAGCGCGGTCAGTATTGCCACTAGGAAAATGGTAAAAACTGCATCGGATGCGCTATTGAGTTGGCCACACCGGTACGGAGCCGGATTTTCAAAATTCAAGATGGCGGTCAAACCAGCGGCCGTTTTATCCGGAAAATTGGGTATCGTCACCGCATCGAGCCGATTTTGACGCACTTGGCGACATTTGTCAGAGTACTTCCGGGGAAACATTTTTTAGGCAAGTAACTAAAGTGTTGCCTGATGAAAAAAAAATTCGAAAATTTTTGATACTTTATGAGATTTTTGAGGAAACAATTTTTGTCGAATTTTTGAACTTTTTTGATTCAAATATTTTAATTTTAACTTTTCAAGATACCCGATGGAAAAATTAGAACGATCGACTGGCAACACTGAGAGCAAACAACGTTTAAAATTCAACCTCGATTTTGACCGACTTGGCAACCCCGCAGGTATTTGGCATGTATGGAGCGATTGTGCATCTCTATAGACTCTTTCATATGGTGGAAAAAAATTACCCGATTTTAGGGAAGTTTTTGAGATTTACCCCAAAAACTCTAACTGTCAAAGAAATAATTTTAGAACTTGAAAACTGGTATCGGTCGATGGAGGGCGCACCCCGAAATGACATTTGACTATTTTCATCGCCTACACCTGGCAACCCCGGCAGCTACGGCGGTTTGAAAGTTCAATGCCCACTATTCACGTTTTGGACTCTAGCGCAGTCATTATAGCCGCTAGGAAAATAGTAAAAACTGCGTTGGATGCGCTAATAGGTGGGCTATATAGATCTGAGATTGAAATTTCAAAATTCAAGATGGCGGATTAAATAGCGACTATTTTATCTAGATAATTGATCTTTTTTCACGACTTTCACTCTATAGAGCTGATTTTGGCGTTTTTGGTAACATTTTTAAGAATACTTTTGACAAAAATATGTATTCAGCTGAAGTGTTGCCAGATGAAAAAAAGACTGTAAAATTTTTGATACCGAGATTTTTGTGAAACTTTCATGTATGTCATTGATGAAAAATATTAAAATATTTTTTTACAATGATTTTACTGTTTAGTAAAATTTTTACTGTTGCATTTATAACATAATTGATGGAATAATTTGAGTTCTACACTGATAGTAGTCACCATATTAATTTCAGAATGATTCTGACTGAGCTGGCGACTCGGAAGCTTTGCATATATAGACCGTTAGCCATAGTCTCAAGACTCAATCTTAACGTGGTGAGAAAAAAAAATCCAATAGTTTCACAAGAAAAATAAAGCGAGCGAGACAACGTCATTCGGTTAGATTAGAACTGTAACTAAAACAAATAGCGAGCGAAGCGAGCCATAAAGAGTGACCAATTAGAGAGATTTGATTAATTGGTAAGGTTAGAACGGTGACTAAAATAAAATGCGAGCGAAGCGAGCCATAAACAACACCACCAATAGAAATCTGATCAATCAGTTAGATGAGAACTGTGAATTAAACAAAAAGCGAGCGAAGCGAGCCATAAAGAGTGACCATTTAGAGAGATTTGATTAATTGGTAAGGTTAGAACTGTGACTAAAATAAAATGCGAGCGAAGCGAGCCATAAACAACACCACCAATAGAAATCTGATCAATCAGTTAGATTAGAACTGTCAATAAAACAAAAAGCGAGCGAAGCGAGCCATAATAAATGGAGACCTGGTCAATTGCTTAAGGTACTGTTACCAAAATAAAGAGCGAGCGAAGCGAGTCATAATTGATTATGTTAGCACTGTGTCTAAAACAAAAAGCGAGCGAAGCGAGCCATAAGGAGTAACTGTTAAGAGAGATTTGGTTAATTGGTAGGGTTAGAACTATGACTAAAATAAAATGCGAGCGAAGCGAGCCACAAAAGACACCATCAATAGAGACCTGGTCAATCGGTTAGATTAGAACTGAGAAAAAAACAAAAAGAAAAAGCGAGCGAAGCGAGCCATAATAAATGGAGACCTGGTCAATCGGAATCGGAATTTTAATTTCAATTTTGATTTCGATGGACTTGACAATTCGGGATCTTTATAGCGTGTATATATGGACCCATTTGTGTAGGTATCTTTACCCACACTTTCACATAGGTAAGTATGGAGAAAAAAATAAAATATATTTCTCTATACTTTTAGATTATTGAGAAAACATGTCCTTTTGATATTCAAAATGAAAGTGTTCTACGTAGGTATGAGTTTGAAATTTGACATTTATTTATTTGGTGTATTATTTAAGGTAACACTGGGGGAAATATCTATTCGATCCATTTTCATATTTTATTAAATATAAACTTACTATTGAATAAGAATAAGAGACTATAATTTATTTAGAGTTTTGCTTGCGTTTTTCGACTGAATATTTCTTTTTCTGTTAAGCGTAAACTGGCAACCCTTTTTCTTTGATGAATGGTGCTTAAACACCTTTCATTTGAAGACAGAACTTACTAACTTTTTGTAGGCGATTTCAAACTATAAAACAAACTTAACAAATAAAAACCGAAAAACACAAATTCCACAACGAAGGTGGACTTAAAACCCCACCGCCCCGATTCCACCAGCTACTCGTGACTTGCCCGGGCTGCACGCAGCCCGGGGCAACCAAGCGAAAGCTTCTATTCTGAAACGAAGGCGATAAAACCCCATCGCATCGTGAATTGATCTATTCTAATATCTGGGCACGACATCGGTTCCCTTTTCATATAATAAATAAATCTTACATAAATAATGTAATGTAATGTAATAATAATGCAAATACAATAAATACTATTTCTTCACATTTAATTGATTAATTAATGATAGTAACACTGATGGAAATATATGTTCGATTGTTTTTTAACACTATACAGTAATTTACTAATAAATAAGAATTAGAGAATAAATTTTAAGTATCTATACAAAATTTATTTTAAGTTTTGCTTGCGCTTTCGACTGAATATTTCTTTTTCTATTAAGTGTCAACTGGCAACCCCTTTTCTTTGATGTATGGTGCTTTGTGTCCTTTAAAACCTTTTATTTGAAGATAGAACTTACTAACCTTTTCTAGGCAATTTCAAACTGAAAACCCGAAATGACACGAGGCGGACTTAAAACCCCACCGCTCCGATTCCACTAGCTACTCGTGCCCTCCCCGGGCTGCTCGCAGCCCGGGGCAACCAAGCGAAAGCTAGTCTAAGTATATATTTTTATAGAATTACAAGTGCGACATAATTTGCTGGATGTTCTAAATATTGATTTCTGAAAATTTTGTAATAACTTACTCTTTTCCCGCGACTTCGTCCGCGTAAATTATTACCTGTACATGCTACATCTGCGTATGATGTCAAAGGCGAAAAATTTCAAAATAGGTTTTTCAATGCAAACAAACAATGACATCTCTCTAATCTTTATAATATTAGCTTAGGTTTCAAAGCTATTTCCATGTAACACAAATATAAAGCGGTTACTTTTTTCCAGCGTCCTAGAGAAAGAGATGGCATGGTGGCGCGAGCAGGTAGCGAGGCACCTATCGCGTGCCCACTCCCCCTCCACACCGCACGCGTCACACGCCTCCCACGTCTCGCAACACGACAGACAGGTAACCACCACACCGTACACGTGACGCACAGACAGTCATATCACAGTCACACATCCAATAACAATATATGACATATTAAATATCATATTAAAAGTTTTTTTTTTTGCAGTAAACATGGCAAATATCCTATATTTTGTTTCTTGTCTAATTGTTTATGTCATATACTTTGGGGCTATTAAATTTTTATTCCAGAGAGCACGGAACACAAACAGAAACTGCGTTCAAGAATCTTTACCGTTTCTGCTCCAAGTAATATTATTAAAACAATGAATTCACGTTTATCATTAGATTTTAGTCCCATCAATTATTAAGTCATATTTGATAAGGGATCATTTAATGTATTAAATACAATGAGGAAGTATGTTAAAAAAGATTTCTCCATGACAACCCTTCCGGTGTTCTTTCGTGTATAAAAGTAAATTAAATTTCGAAACTCAATTATCAACTCATATTCTATTTGGACTTATTCGTATTTGTATTGATATCCAAGGTTCGAGCTTTGCAAATTTCTTATTTAAAAGGAAAGGAAATGACTATTTTTGGTTCATTTGTTTCTTGCAAAAATCGCCATCTAGTGGAGGTGCTTTTTAGTGCTTTCTTTTTTTTTAAACTTTCTCATTGTGTTAATTTTCCATTTTGATGTTCGAATAAATTACTAAAATTAAACATCACGTACGGCAGGTGCTTTCTTGTGAGTACAAAAAAAAACAGATTGAGGAAAAATTGAAGAATTCATATTAATTAATAATAATATTTCTCGTGTTAAAGGTTTTTTTAATCAAATATGACTGATCTAGAGATTCTGTGGATGTAACTGTAAATAGAGATATTAGTTTAATCTTCTTAAACTTGTTGTCTGTTAGTTTTAGTTTAGTATTATTGTGGAAAACTTAATTTACAACATTATTCATACACATAGTGTCCTTTAACTTATATAATATTCATTTTTAGTAATGACTTTAATTTCTAATATGAATTTATTGTATAAGTTAATAAAATAGTTTTACAAAGGGACGTCAGATAGTGAAATGTAGTATTTTCAAGACCGGTAGTGTGGGGGTGTATCATGGGTATATTCTGTTTCTATTGCTCTATTTGATAAGAAATATAGTGCATATAGTTATAATTTTGACATGTTAATTGTCTAAAAAACAAAAATAATTTATGACATTAATTGATTGTGACTAACCACTGTTGTCGTTATAGATATAATATTTTTTATTATTTTAGCTTTGAGTATTAGATGATTGAGAAATCGATCTCTCTTTATAACTTATATTGGTGACATGTGTCATTCTTCTATAATTTGAATAAGATCATAGGAAAGAAAATTTCATAATTTTCAGTGATATAGGTCTAGGTCAAATATCATATATTTTGACATCGCATCTACGTGGTGTTCTATACCAATAATAAAACCGGAATATTCATTATTTTTATATTCGGTGACCAGGGGCCTAATGGTTTAATTTTAAAATTATCGCAATTCCTCTCAAAGGTAATTTAAACTTGAGGAATCTAACGGTCGTGTGGTGTGTGTGTGTGTGCCAGATGCAGGTGGCGCAGATCCAGTCGCTGGTGAGCGGCGGGGACGTGAACGGCGCGTTCCAGGTGGCGCTGTCGGCGGCGGACCTGGCGCTGGTGGTGGCGGCGTGCCGCGCGGCGGAGCCCCCCGCGGTGTTCGGCCCGCCGTGCCGCCTCAAGCAGCACGTGCTGCTGTCGCTCGTGCAGCAGCTGGCCGCCGACATGGCGCACGACACGCCGCTCAAGCACAGGTCGGCACTAGGCCCCCTACTTTTTTTTTAACACTACCTCTTCTGCCCGGCAAGCGACAGGAGGAGTGTGGGACTCTCCTACGTGAGCCCACCCCGTGGCTAGCCGCGCTCCTGAAGGCCTACACACAAAAACCCCTACGGTGTACCCTCCCCTGGGGATGAGACCCGTGATGCCGTGACCGAGTCGCCGGGACAGTCACTATGCCACCTAGCAGTTTCTATGCATACTACGCTCACAGGGATCTTTGCATTTTAAACTTTCTACTTAACAAAGAAAAATGTTGCCGAAAGTAAAAAATACGTCGTTTTTGATTAGTGATATTGTCATTGTCAACGTGCGATATTTGGAACGGGTGTCCCAATGCCGAGGTGAATGAAAATGCTGACGGAGATCTACACATGGTCGGGCATTGCACGCCTCCACCTCGTCTGGGGGGTGCGTCTCGAATGTCTCTGAGACGTACCCCCAACCCGCAGAGGGACCTGCCCTTTTCAGGACGGGCCGAGATGTGGGCGAAACGCGCGGTGTATGGCCGCCGGGCTGATCCCGCAATACAGTAGAGACAGGCTGAAGAAGAAGAGAAAAGAAGATTATATTTGATCAATTTTTCATTCAGATTATTTTTCAGTATATATATATATATATCATTGTGAATGCAAATTTGGTAAAAATATAATCATCGATACAATGTTTTTATCTTTATCGAAAGTTTTAAACATTTGTAAAGATATTTTTTTCGGCTGTTCGGGTTGATTGCCGGAACATTGACGAAAATACGCTCTGTAGTGAAAGAGTAACAAATGCTTGAAAAATTCGACAGTCCTGTTAGGTCCTGGGTAGCTCGGTGGTAAGGACAGTCGCCCGCATTGCGACTGCCAGGGACAAGGTGGATTTTTAAGCATATTTCGTTAAAAATATTTATCAGTATACCATTATGAATGCAAAATTGATCAAATATAATAATATACAAATCATTCCGCTATTCAAATTGCGGAAAATTTCGACAAAATTACCTATTTACTGTATAAATAATGTTGTCGGTCTCCTTTGGCAGGTACTTAGAAGAAGCTATAATGAACTTGGACACAACCAACCCGGTGACCCGTGAACACCTCCCAGTTGTAGTCAGAGAACTCCAGAAACAGGTATGTTCAAAATTACCAATTCTAATTTATCTTACGTTATAAAAATCCAATTGCTATTTGTTTCTCTCAGACATCTGGACCGATTTCTTTCATTTTGGTTTGTCGTAGTTCAGGGAAGGTTCAAACAGTTTGAGAGACTTCGATCAACAATACAATAGTTAACTCAAATACAGCACCATCTGTTAAAATGCTAAGTAATAAAATAGACTCAAGTAACAGAAATAATATCAATCTGACATAATATGCCTTAAATACAAATCTTAAAGCTCAGTTGAGTTTGTGTCGATATCTCACTCGTACGTTGATAAATAGCATCTGCAGAAACCGTTAGACTAGTTAGTTTCTGCGGATGCTATTTTTAAAAACTGAACACAAATTAAGTATAAAATTACTTGTATAAATTTGACACTTACATCATTTCGAATTCATTTAAACAAGAAACATAATATCACAGAGTATATTCTGTAATAATACTCTTGAGCGATAACTGAACTCCGGAACTGGGTAAGTATGGAGTTGCATTGCCAATTTCCAACGATCATCTGGATAAGCTCTGACCGTGCATCTAGTTGTATTGTTGATCGAACATGAGAGATGGATAATACGATCGAGATATAATGTCTTATTAGTGAGAGATAGATATTTAAAGTAATTTAAATTAAATCTCATATAAAAGTAATATGTGAATAATATCGAAGGAAACCTTTTAGGGGTTCGTTAAAACTGGGAATTTTGATAAATTGGAACTTTTGGTTCTTTTGTCTCATAAGGTCGATCCCTGCGCTGACGCACAGTAATCGGGCAAACTTTTTGTTTGACTGACAAATGACTTATGACTTGTTTAGACGTAATTAAGTAGTAAGTGGATTTTAACATAATTTAAAGTGATTAAGTACGTGTAAATACACAAATAAGTATCAAGATAAAATTTAGATGTTACTTATGAGCTTAATAAGAATAAAATTTTAACTCATAGCGAGTATGACTTATTTGTGTGTTTACACGTACTCAATCACTTAAAATTAAGTTAAAAATCACTTGTAAACCAGCCATAAGATTCACAGGCATCTCATTAGATTTATATTGTACCGTAGGTGATGTCGTTCCTGTCCGCGCATCCGTCTCACTCGCTCGCGCGGCAGTTCAAGATGTTGCTGATGGCCGCCGACTCGCTCGTGAAGGCGGCCTGACCGCGCCCCGCCCCCTGCCCCGCCCCCGGCCCCGCCCTCACGCTGCACGCCACGCTCATGCTCACGCAACAGTCGCGGTACCACTGATCGCTACACATGTATATGTCACGGGCAGTGGCTCCTTCAGATTGGTCGATGGGGTCCGCATACGGGGACCGGCTTATTTCTGTAGACTCATTTTCATTGTTCGATCACTGGCTCATAAAAATGAAGTATAGAAATCGCATCACTCCGCATTTGGGCCCAATCGACCGATATAAATTAGCCATAACAGTGGGTGTGGAGATAAACTACTCTCAGGCAAAACTTGGGTTAGATTTAACGAGCTAATGTTTTTGATAACACCTACCTTCAAACGTGACATATACATTGGGACGAGGTAGCCGTTTTCAATCGATCTGTCTCATTATAAAAACATCATAGGCCACCCTCAACTGGACTTAAATTCGGTCACGTTCATTTGTAATGACCGAACTGATACCGGTGCCGTCGTGAGTGAGGAATCATCGAGCGACTGAATGGAACAGTTTAAGTGATACTGTGTTTATTGTTTAAGTGTATCCATAAAGACGTACGAGCATGTTTTGTGCCCGCAAATTCGTCAGTTTTTAATCTATAAAAAATATTCTGCTTTGTTTGCAGTGACTAAGCTTAAGTTTGATTTCACTCTGTGCTATGATAATTGTAATAACAATACAGTGTGAACAATTTTTTCATAGTTTCGTATGAATTGTAAACAAAACATTGCGACCCTGAATATTATAATTACTAATACAAGTAATTGTCAAGGTTACATGATATTATTGCTTATGTTAATTGTGTTGAGTCGAAATCACGTCGGGCAATTTTTAAAGTAGTCCTTTCGCTTCTCGGTTTTTGTACACGAGACGTCTCCGATACAATATTTCGCACGCGGACCACAAAATGGCGGTGACCGGGCAGCGTTGCGTTATATAGTGCTAAGCTAATGTAAGACTGTTATCTACGCCATTTGTAATGGTGATAAGCTTGGTCAGTGTGCGTATGCGTAGGTACACATTATATTTATGATTATAGAATTCGTATATCGTCGTGTGATATTGTAAAGAGTGATTGAAGTTAAAGTAACACGTATGTTTAATAGTGACATCACGTCTATTATATCTGAACGCGGTACAATCTATTCTATAGTTAAATTAAAGATGTTACTGTATTTAAATCATATATTTATAATATTAATGACGTCTCAGTTCAACGTAATTTTATATGCCTTAGTATATTACCTCAGATACATTGTGTATATAATAAAGAACTTAGTTATATACATTATATTGTCTAAGTGAAACCAGATATTATTCAATGGTGCCACCGTTAATGTTGATAATTAGAAAGTATTTTCTCTTTTCAACTTGTCTTTCCATTGTGCCTGGTGCATTTAAGCTTACCGAATCAGGTGATTGTACTCATTCATATTTGCTTAGACATCTGGTCTATTACAATGACACTATGGAGACTTGGTTTGTTTATACTGTGGATTTGAAGGAAGATTGCACCAACTCATCTAACCCAGTGACAGAGTTTCTATTATCATTATATTACATTTAGTGTTACCACTAAACAAACTGTCGCTATATCTACACAACAAGTAAAAAAATGAGAAAATAGATCGTTAATTTATAATCCTGTTGGCAGTTGAACTTAAAGAACGTTCTAGTTTTGGCCACCATGTTGTATAAGTTTTGGAGCGCTTTAAAAAATTAATTAGGCTGAGGCGTGGCCGTGGATTGTTTCAAATAATGATATAAGAAAGATAGTTCCTCGCTACGCTCTGACACAGTATAACATGAACCATAGTTTACAAATGTAAGGGGCCGTCCATTAATCACGTGAGGCTCGAAAGGGGGGGGTTTGTTCAAAATCACGAAATATTACAAGGGGGGTGGGGGGTGTAGTAATTTATCACGTGTATTTATTTTTTCCTCGATACGCGATTATTAAACCGAAAAGCGACGTCAAAAATAGATATTTTTTGTTTTTAAATACACGTGATTTGGTTGAAGGAGGAAGGGGGTAGTCTTAAACCTCACCATGTATCACCAAGGGGGAGGGGGGGGGGTTAAAAATGTTGAAAAAAACATCACGTGATTAATGGACGGCCCCTAATGACATACTAATTTTATCACTCCGCTGCACTCCAAATAATAATATGGGAATAGGATGTTGTCCCCTACATCTCTCTCTGTTTCCCTCTCTCTTTCTAACATAAAGACCTTGTATATATCATCCCTCCTATAAAAATGGTCGTACGTCAGATAGAGAGCGTACGTCAACATGCGGCATCCTGTTCGTACGTGTTATTACCTATTTGACAAAGGTGCTTAGCGCACGGTAACAGATATTCTCAATATCTGGAAAATTAAAATAAGACAGTCACAAGGGAACATTTCTTGTGGAAATTACTTGTCCTATTTAATCTATTTTGTTTATTTGACTCATTAATTATCATTTGAAAATCTGTCTACTAAATAATACTTCTATAAATGTAGGTAGCTATATATAAAATATAAACATGTCTCATATAGGTTATTTTATATTATTTTTTGTAAGTTCGGACAGTGAAGTTATAATGACTTTTTACACTTAACTATAGTGTGACATAGCAATAATATAAACGTGTTTGTTATATGTATTTTATGAAAAAACAATACTTCTACAATAAAGCATATAAACGATTACCAATCACCTACCGATTGTTAATGTATACATACAACATAAATAAACCATCTAGTTGTAATATTTGAACGATAATGCCTCCAAATAATCTTATTCTGTAAATTACATAAGTCATCGTACGTTCATCATCATCATCATCATCATCATCAGCCGGAAGACGTCCACTGCTGAACATAGGCCTCCCCCTTTGAACGCCACGACGGACGACTAATTAAATAATATAATTCATATAATTATTAAATTATACGTAATCACTGGTACAGATTTTAGATTACGGGTTTTTTCATAGTTTTGGATCACAAAAGTTAAATATCTGTAAAAAAAATATAACTTTATAATATTTGATATGAAAAGAAACATATTTAAAACATTAATTGTGGTGGAATTAAAACATTGTCACATGACACGGTCTTGTTTAAATGTAGGTCTTTGTTTTTCTTTTCTATTTTTTTTTTTTGTTTTTTTTTTATGGCTGTGTCAATGAGATTTAGGGAACGTTAAATTGACCAAATAAAAAAATGTTTAGTGACAAAGTTGCTGCTAAGCTTAGATTTTTAGGCGTGTTTAATTAAAATAACACTTATTTTGTATTAGTCCTCATAAAACTTATAAGTCGTATATCACATCTACTCCACGTAATTGTTACTATATTTTATCCTTTATATTATACTTATTCTTTTGTTTATATTATAATAGAAAGCTAGATATTGTTTGATTTTTGACGTAAAATTGGTTCGTTTGTTTGTTACTATTTACGATGATTGTCACAGATCAAGAGTATTATTCTAAGGAATGTAAAAATAAAGCTATTGATTTGTATCATATGTGTTTTTAATAATTCCTTGATCATTCACAAGACTGAGAATTCAGAGATTTATTTTTGCCACCAGATTCTGCGGTAGCAAGAAGAGAATTCGTTTTTTTTCACGTTTATTGTATATATACATATACTTGCAAAAATAAACATATACCTACGTTCCTTAATTAGGCGATAATTTATCAAGATTCTAAAACCCTTACCATCCTGACCGACAATTTAAAAAACAAAGTCTATTAAGTTAAACTACTATGAGTTGCTACAGTCTGTGGCGTAACTACAGGGTGGCAAGTTGACAAAATGCCGCGGGCTGTAAGCTGTCTCGCTGGAAGGGGCCCCCGGTCCTAGGAGAATCCTTACCCCTGACATTTATTATTATACAATCAGTAAAAAAATACAGAATATCCGCTGAATTTGCCACGGGCCTCCAACGGTATAGTAGCATTCTAAACGAGAAACTATAAATAAAAATATTAACTTTAAAGGATTGACTATAGTATTTTGGAAGTATTCAGTTAATTTTAAGATGCAGATGCCAACTAAGACGGCATTTTTCAACATTCGATCCCTGGGGGTTGTTTTTGGGCATGCTAGTGTGAAATTTAAAAATAACTTGTCTGAAAACACTTAACGGTAATGCATAGATATCTTCATAACCACAGGCGGGCAACAGCTAGTTTATACATATATGGATCTTTTTATGCAGTTTAAATAAATACATCGAGGGTAGATACATTAAAGTTGGCATTCCCAAATGCAATTATTTCGTTACCTGCATATCTGCAATAGTTATTAATAGTTCCTTACGATCGAACATGAACAGAGTTTTATGCGACGAGAAAATGTTCCTACGTCGAACTAAATCTTTGTGTCAATTTAGTGGTACATTTACGACTAAAGCAACCGGTACAAGCAAGAATGTGTGCACGGAGAAGCGCAGTCGTACGGCAAGCGAGTCCTCTGTTGAGGCGTATGTGGTCCACCGAACTGATTCCGAAACGTCACTGGAGGAACACGATGTCAACTCGAGTTCTATTGGTGTGGGCAAATTGACGCATTTGGAACATAAAATGGATCAATTAAGCGGTAAGTGTTGGTGATGTGAGAGGGTATGTCGCCACCAATGGGTGATAGAACAAACGGCAATGTAATGTTGATAAGAATTAATTGAAGAGGTTACCACGATAAATTAATGTACACACGGCAGCACGTCAAGATACACACCATCACCGTAAGCAGACTTTGTTAGTAGAGAAGTTCAACGAATGGCGGTCGGTAAAAGCGCTCAATGTAAAGTCTGACGTGCGGTCGTGTGTACCTATAGGAACGCACTCGGTGCATTCACCTAAGTTAACTATAATATTATGTACCTACTCGTAATTCACCTAGATCTGTTTATGGAGCAATGTCGAATATTAGCCGCTATAAAAGAAGAGATACAGAACTCGAGGGAGGTCATAGAGAAATCAAGCGAGATGTACAGTCACGTGCTTGCTCAGTTAACCAACAATATTGAAAAGGATCCGTGAGTATTACTATAAGTACTAATTTAAAGAAAGAAAAAAATACTGGACCGATCCCTAGGGGAAGCCACATCGTACGCGTGTGACATAGGCTATATATCTTTGAATGTTAAAAATTGCAGTGGACCTTTGCCCCAGTGAGGTTTCTAGTGTTATACACATAACCCTGTATCGAAGTCTTGTTGTTTAGTTGTAATTATATCGTACTGGAGACTGTAAACTCGTTAGGTATACTGTAACGGTGCGCATGCAAACTTTTTATCTTTGATTTTCAATATCATTTTTTATTTATTATTCACTTATCGTAATCTGAAATTTTGAGTGATACAAAATGCTCTTCATGAATGTCAGTTCGTGAAAGTTCGTCGAGTTAGAAACATTATACATATAAAATTTTAATCAATAGCAATTTGTTGTAAAAAAAAGTATTAAAATCTTTTTATTACTACCTGTTTCCGTTATGCTCACGAGTTTGAACTCAAGAAAAATGTAATAGAGTTAATTTACTCACCAAACCGTAGATTATTTTTTTGTTACCCTTTATTAATTCAAGTTCGCAAGCTTAGTCAGCCTTTTATTCATTTGCCTAAGTATCGAACCCGGCACAAAACACTGTAAATAAGTTGGTAACGTAGGTAACAATTTTTAAACTATCAATCAAAGCATTACTCCACTATACCAATAATCATCGGTCAACTCCATAGCACGCATTAAGTTTTAATATCAATTGGCAAAAATGACAAAAAATTCCATGCACGTCGAGCATAGAATTTCCTAACTAACCCTATTTTTAACGTCGAGGGAATGCGTCAGGCGCTGTTTTTTAAATTACCCCTGTATATGGTTAACTTAGAAAAATTTTCATATATCCCTCTTAATTTTGAGTCACAATTCAGGTCAAGACAATTAGAAGAAAGTGATACATCAGATGAGGAGACAGCCAACAGTCGCGCGCGCACACTGCTCGATGCGATCCAGGTGAAACAGACGCGGCCTACGAACGTCGCTAGGGAGATGAAGGATGCATTCGCGCGCTTCTTGCAAAGTGATGTAAGTTTTATTTATTGGGATCTCAAAAATATATTATTCAATTTAGTAAAATTAGTCGTAATTGAGCGGTAAATCCGTAATCGTGGGAACGATAACCAGTCTGACCCAGTCTTAGGAATCGTGGTCAGGCTAAACAACAGGCGCTTCGACGAGGGGGAGCCCAGGTGGATCACTCCAGATGGACGAGCTAGAGCTCGCACAGATCCTACTTTCGATGAGAACAGCAGAGCGACTCTGTAAAAATCTGACCCCAATTCGAATTCACTCATGTGTAAAAATTCTATTGATCCATTTTTGTATAAAAATACAAAACAAGATTGATTGAATATACGTGTCTCAGATATTCTATTTTTATGTCACTTCGAAACTCACTTCACTTATGCCACGAAACGTTATTACCAATTCAAGATTGGGCGGATGTCGCTTTTTGAGGTGAATTCGGACACCTGAATGAAACCGAATTCGAGTTCGGATTTTTATAGAATCGCAGCGCTGCCAGAATATTGCACATCCTCGTTCTGTCTAGGGTGCAATGCTCTAATATTCCTGGGTACTTTTCCAAAGCTTTTCTATAACCGAGCGATAATATTGAAAAAAGGGCTGCAATACTGAAATCCTACAAATATTACAAAAGTGAAAGTTTACCAGCACGTTTGTTACTCTTTCACGCAAAAACCATCGAATGTATTTTGATAAAATATGTTATACGGTTAAATTTCAACCTGGATTTAGGATTAACACGCGGGATACTTTTTATTCCACACTGAATGGTTCGTTACGCGCTCCCACGCGGGTGGAGCCGCTCGAATAGAGCTATTGTGTGGTGTAGGAGCTGGCAGAGCGCGTGGCGGTGACGACGGCGGCGGCGGTGCGCGAGGCGGTGCGCGGGTGCGTGCAGCGCGAGGTGGCCGCCGTCTACCTGCCGCTGCTGCAGCGCGCGCACCGCCGCCTGCACGCGCACGCCATACGCGCGCTAGAGGACGCCTTCGCGGAACGTATGTACCACCTGACCCTGTTTCGAGGATTATTTCGAACCCTATATCCCTCCACCGTAGAGCAGCGTGAGACCTTTAGAATTAATAAACATATTTGTGCATATTATAGATTTTATTTTTAATTTCTTCTCTATACCGTATAGTTATTTTGAGCGGAGACAAATCCGACAAATGAAAACTATACAGTGAGGTTGATGATGTATAACGAGTGACCCTGTATAATCGTTTTATTTTGTAGTTGTTCTCCAGTTACAAACGGTGTTATTAAATAACAACAAAATTAATTGCTATTTTAATTAAAGACTAATAATAATCTTTCTATGTAAATTCTTAGAACAGTTTCTAAGGTAGTTTTGAAGAAGATAGTATAGAAATTCCATACCAGTCTCCATGTTACAAATAGTATAATGTATTGTGAAGTGGAGGAGCACACGTCCCGGTCGTCGCACCGCATGTACCGCGCGTCGCGTCAGCTGCGGCGCGCGCTCGAGCGTCACCAGCGCGCGGCGTCCGCCCCGCAACAGATACAGTCGCTGCAGCGTACGGCCGAGAGGTAGGCGTGCACAGGGTTAATTAACTAGTACTTACCAAGTTAGTTTCAGGTTTAAGTACGCGAGTTTGACACGTGAAAACTATTTAATATTTCCTAAAAAATAATATTTCCTTAAATTTCTCCCTTAAAGAGTCTCTAATCCTAAGATTATAAATTGATCTAATTGCTCTTTTCTGAAGCACAAAAATCGTTTGTAAGTTGGCAGCATTTCCCCACAATAGGATTCCGTACGACATCACACTATGAAAGTAACCGAAATATACTAATCTGGCAGTATCTATGTCAGTTAACCATCGTATCTTCATTACGGCATATGCTGCAGAACTAAGTCTATTCGACAATTTATCAATATGTGGGCTCCACTGTAGTTTAGAATCTAATGTTATTCCTCAAAATACTGTGGTATCCACAAGGCCCATGTTCTTATCTTTTATGTTAACATTTATATCTACTTTTTTAACATTAGGTAGTACAAATTTTAGGCATTTTGTTTTTCCTTCATTAAGGAGAAGATTATTTACATTAAACCAATGTACTACTTATTGTTCACATCGTCATCAAGAGGTAGCCCTCTTTTAAATTTAAACAAAAGTGAAGTGTCATCCGCAAACAAAACTATCTCGTGATTATCCCTTACGAGATAAGGTAAGTCATTTATGTAAATTAAAAACAAGAAAGGACCAAGTATTGAGCCCTGCGGAACACCCATCTTAACTTTCGACCCAGGGGATCTTTTGCCATTGATATCAACCTTCTGTACTCTGTCAGTCAAGTATGAGACAATAGAATCCAATGAGTTATCTCTAAATCCATAATTATGAAGTTTCCTAATCAATGTTTCATGGAAAACACAATCAAATGCCTTAGATAGGTCGCAGAATACACCTAACGAATCATGTGAATCCTCCCAGTCATTAAAAAAATCTTGTATTAACTCGACACCGGCTTCGGTTGTTGAGCAACCCCTTGTAAAACCAAATTGTTGTCGATTCATAAGGTTATTCTTGTAAAAGTATGTTTGTATTTGATCCAGCATGATTTTTTCAAAAATCTTACTAAACGTCCAAAGTTAGTAGGATCTAAAGTTAGTAAGGATTTATGTAAAGGAATAATTTTACTATATTTCATAAGCTCAGGAAAAATACCATAATCAGTACATTCATTAAATATATAAGCTAGGATTGGAGCTAGTCTCAATTACCGATTTAGGAACTTTAATGGAATTACCTCATAAATCAGCGGTTTTCTTTTCTTTAGGTGTTTAAAGATGTTATTATATCTTTAAAATCAATGTGTTGAAACTTAAATTGGCTATTACAATTATTTAAACTTGCCTTTAAAATAGATTCAGCAACAATGGAAGAGGAATTCAAAGATTATGTAATTAGGACTGGAATTTCAATAAATTTTCAAATACTGAAGCAACTTCAAGATCGGATGTTACTTTTTTATTATCAATGTTTAAATAAAAATTTATATTCCGGGATTTTTCTCTTCCAGTTTCACTATTTATGATATTCCACGTCATTTTAACTTTATCTTTACTATTTTCAATTTTTTTTTTATAAAAATAATCTATGTTAATACTTTCCAATGTCAATAACGATGATTACTAATTACTTTTTGTTTGTCTGTTCGTCGAATAGATTGTTAAAGAATATTAAACACATATTTTTTGCTTAATCAACAAGTTGCCACTTGCCCCGGGTGCCGGTGGTAGAGAAATGACAAAATCATCATCATATCAAAAAAGAATCAGCTTTACAAATCTCTTCATCGGCTATGATGGGACCGATATGCTTCAAAATTCTTAAATGAAATAAAAGAAAAACATTATACACTGCAAAAATATGTCAATAAAAGTTTAGTACCTGTTATCTAAGCTATTTCTTGTTAAATTGAAGTAAAAAAAATACGTATCGAATATGTTTATATCATCTGATGGACTAAATAGAAATTCTTGTTTTTGTTACCCAGTTGTCATCCCTATTCTATGTCTGTCCCTATAAAATAATAAAATATTCAGTTCTATTGACGTTTCGGACCTTTTATAGGTTCCGTGTTCACATAAGTCTGTAAAGGGTCCGATACCTCAATAAAACTAAATACAAAGGCGATGAAACCGTTTAAAAGTTGTTTCATTGATGGATAGTGCGCGTGAAAATATCAGAAATCGATGATAAAATATTTGTTGAAACTGTATGTACTTTCACCACACATATGTAATGGTTGATTTTAATCGAGTTCATTATAATATACTTAAAATTTAATTTAAATGATTCGATGACATTACATGAGTATAAGTAGGTAATATGACGCGCATCCTACTTCTTACGCAGTAACGAACTGCTACATTTAAAATAGAATTCTATTTACGCCATGTATTCTTTTATATGACTTTAGTAAATACAATTTAATTATATCCAATACAATACCGTTTCATCGGACGGTCAGTTGTTAAGGTCCATAGAGGTACTTCATCTTCACTATCATCATCCTATTAATGTCCTGCTAGGGCTCAGATATTCTCTATGGATTGAATTGAATAGTGAAAAGGGGCCGTGATTTATTCGGCTCTAGGTGCAGCGGTGTTAACGGCTGCAGATGCAGCCTGAACCAAAGACAGGGCCGGATTAGCCACGTAACAAAAGTAGCGATTGCTACGGGCCCCGCGCAATTAGCAGCCTCGATATGGTTTAGAGACAATAAATTAATTAATTATTCAAGTCAGTGTTAAATAATGCAAGCAATAAAATAAGTCACGCTTCTAACTAGTCATATTTTTAAGTATGTATAAACTGACAAATAAAACTCAAGTGACTTTTCTATTTCGGGGAGGGGGGGGGGGAGGGATTTGCTACGGTCCCCGTTCTAGCTTAATTCAGCACTGACCAAAGGCTTAATGTGCCTTCTGAAGAAAAACATCTGCTACCTGCTTATCTGGCCTCTGCCGTCGTTATTGTTTCGTTGAATAGGATCCTAGACAACGAAATGAATCAATGGCGCCAAAAGATTCTGGAGTGCATTCCAACGGAGGGTTCATCGGAGAGCGATGGTCGGTCTGCATCCCCTACGCTGTCAGTGGAGTACCCGGCATATGGCCCCGTCAGCCCCACGCAACCAGCAGACCCTGAACATTCTGTCATCGATCAACTGGTTAATATAAAGTGTTCTATTTATGAATATTGGTATAGTAGCCAAGTTAACAGGGTGAAATGGTCTGGCTCATTTTCTGATGCACTTTTAACGGGAAAAAATATTTAGTGGATTATAGGGTTTATTGACTTATAGTATTAACGACTTCTTCAAACTTTTCGTTCATTGTTCGTCTCACTAGTACAAAGAAAAAATACAGAGCGTTTATTTTATTTTTATTTCTCTGTTTCACTTCGCATTTGCAATGTTGTTCTTAAAATCTACTTAAATTTGTTGAGTCGAGTATCTCAATAGTCATAGAAATTCAAAACAAAAGAGCTACGTTCAACATTATAGAAGAGAATGGGAGAATTATGAGGGGTTCAAACATTGGTTAAAACCTGTGCCAACTGACTCAACTAAAGTGATTGATATTTTTCATGATTATAACTCGTAATTTTTTTTTTTCAATAAATGAATATATTTTTGGTTTAGTCTTTCCTATTGCATGTTTATAGCCGCAGCTGTAGTTCTAGTATTTTTGGACAGAAAAAAGTTTGGCGACATCTAGCGGATACTTAAGAAAAATAAATATCCGTATCTTGCGAAATCATAAAGATTGTCTAGGGAAATAAAATGTTGTAGAACGGCAACAGTGGAGCGCATTAATAGAGTGATGTAACAGATGCAGGCGGCACTGATAAACAAGCAGATGGAGGAGGGCGACGTGAACGGTTCGTTCGAGCGCGCGCTGTGTGCGGGCGACCTGACGCTGGTGGTGGCCGCGTGCCGCGCCGCCGCGCCCGCCGCGCCCAGTAGGCTGCAGCAGCACGTGCTGCTCGCGCTGTTGCAGCAACTAGCCACCGATATGCTGCACGACACTATACTCAAGTGCAGGTCAACACTGTTATATCACTCAAGAACAGAATATACATTTTACTTTATATTTAATTTTAACCTTAATTTGTCGCTGATTGGGTTCAATATAGGGAATACAATCTCGATCTCGCGAGATCTCGGGCTTTTTTAGCGAGATTTATCTCGGTCGAAAAATGGGCGAGATCTCGCGAGTTTAACTAGATTGCACTCGAGCATAAAAATTTCTAATTTTCGATTTATTCTAAGTGCGGCAGCATGAATTTATGCGATTCCGGGGGGTTAAAAAGCGAAGCTTTACACTTTTACAGTACTTGTGTTTTCGAAAGGGTCTTCTCCGTGGCTGGTTATCTGGCCAGCACAATTATAAGACGAATAGCAAAGTTTCTTTGGACATTTTGTGCTTCTTAAGAAGCTACTTTCAAAATTATTCGTATATTTTGTTAATTTATTCTTTAATTTCTAATAGATCTCTGGGTTCACATTGTTTTCTTTCATTGATATTAATCTCAGTTAAATAGTCAATTCAATTAAGTTAATGCGTTTTATTATAGTTTTGTATTTTTGTTATTAAAACTGTGTATTGTAATAAAACTTTTTACAATTTGATATGAGCAGAGAAGACTCGTTTATTTCATCAAGAAGGCTTGTTTATTTCATTTTGTATTTGATTAGATACGTCAAACTTTAGTTTTTTTAAAAGTCATCCAGGTACTAAACCTGGATGACTAAGCTTTACTTGGCACTTTTATAAAATAAAAAATTTAACCTAACTAAATCGATTTATCGCTTCTGAAAGCCCCTGCATACTTAATGTCATGAAAATTGTTGGAGCCGTTTCCGAGATTATAATACAGTAATTGCTCTTTTAAAGGTTTTAGATAAAAAAATATAATTGCGTCAACCAATGTCAATACACAAAACTTTATTGTAAATACCTTTAAAAAAAATGTTCATTTCATAATACCTATAATTCTATTTTATTTAAATATTATGAGTTGAATAAATATTACAGTAAAACAGTAAACGCACAAAAGTGCCAATCTCGCGAGATCTCGCGGTATTGATATTCATAAACTCGCGAGATCTCGCCCGCGCCACGGTGGGCAAAATCGGTCGTTATCGGATCAAAAATGTATAACTTCATGATTTTTTGTAGTACCGCAATGAAATTTGCTACAAATATTCAGTGAGGTTTGGAAATTCAAATGATGTATAATTTGTAGTGTTTTTCTATATACATATATATGTTATATGTCATAGAGATTAAAAAAAATGGGTCAACACAAAAATAAAATGGTAAAAAAAATAATTCCAAAAGAAAGACAAGTTTTAGGGCGGCTTGCGCAACATTTGGTCTAAACAGAATTTAGTTAAATGCGTTTATCTTGCTAAATATGTTTAGCCTAAATACAATTAAAAAGGTCTTGCTCACGTCCGTTTGGATGGTAATTTAACTAATCGTAGTTAGGGAGTCGGTAAAGCAGTTTCTTGCGTTCCTTTTTATGTTTTCGTGCGCTGTACACTTGACTTAGAGCAAAACGGTTGCATTTCTTAAAAAAAAATGCGTGAAATAGATCGACGAGCTTTCAACTATCACTTCAAGTCAATCGAGCTGTCAAGTCATGAAGTCACACAAATTGTGTTGTGTTTTGTGAAGTGTTCTCGTGCTATTTCTCGTGGTAATTTTTATTGATAATAATTGTTTAAGTTGAGTTCAGCGATAATTACCATGGCAAACAAAAGTGTTTCTTCTAGGGCCCGGGGGCCTAATTTTACAACAGAAGAACAGATATTGCTCATTGCAGCGATGGAACCATACACCCATATTATTGAGTGCAAAAAGACCGACCAAATTAAACAGACAGAAAAGCAAAATGCCTGGGTCAAAATCGCTCAGGTTTTTAATGCCAACACAAAAGGTGTTTCAAGAAGTGTCGAAAACCTTTTAAGTTGTTATAGAAACATTAAAAGCAAATTGAAAAAAAAGCATTCAGAATCAAAAATGTTGTTGAGAGGTTAGTAACATGATGAACTTATTTTTCTGGACACAGGCTACCATACCCTTGTAAATACTGCTCAGTAATGTCTTTTATTAACCATAGTAACCCAGCTGTCTACTTATGTTACAGATCCTGATCAAAAACAGGCTTTTTTAAGTGCATTAGAGGAAAATGGCAAAGACTGGGAAGCAATTGCCTCCACAATAAATAGGCCTATTGAGGTTTGCCAGGAAAGCTTCAACAGTTTGAAAATCAAATTGAAAAAAGAAGAAGCCAAGTATAAGAAGGTTGTGATGGGAACAGGTACATATAAAATATCATATTAGTGTTGTGTTTTTCTATTTATGTGTGTTTTATAAGCTGCCTATCAATATTGATTAAAATCCTAAGTTCATGACATTAATTTTGGAGACAATTGCGAGTTTAAAGAGACAATTGTAAACAAGTTATACTTGTTATTTTTAGGTGGAGGCCCTCCTCCTTCAGATGATGACGACCCACTTAAAGCAGTGAGGAAGTTAATAGAGCCACAAATGGATGGACTTTATAGTATTTATGATGGAGATTCCACACTCATGAAGCAATTTCAAGAGAGTCTTCCTGAAGAAAAACGAATTGCACCCATCGAAGAAGACTACTTGAAAAGTCTTGAAAACATAACTACATTTGTGGTTGATTGTAATACTGGTAGGTAACTAAATAGTAAACAAAAATACCTTTTTGTGCTTTTAAAACCAATCATGTAACAAAATGTGTCAAAATGTACATTTATTAAATACCTATATTATTCATATATTTATTTTTAGTTATTACTGAGAATGATGGTGGTTCTACTCCAAGCACACCATTGCAATCTCGAGCTGGAGATAAGATGGAGATAATACAAAAAAAAGGAACTGTGCTGATAAACAAGGGTAATTAATTATCACCATAATTTATAATTATATATATTTATAGCAGTTTTTTAATTATATTGTTTGTTTTAGATTTAACTGACAATGACCATGGCCCTGCTACAAGTGGCATTAATACCACACCGTCATCAAAATCAGAAGTCAGAGAAAGTTTAAGCAGGATAGACATTTTAAGAAAAAGGAAGGCATCTGCTCTCTTTAACAAAGGTACCTAAATTATTATTTCAAGTCATTCAGTTTCATATCTTATTGCGAATTCACAATTGGCTCATATTATATTATATTTTTATTTATTCCAGAAAATAATACTGCTGAAGAACTTTCAACTAAGAAAAGTAAGACAGCAAATGAGAGTTTCAAAATATTGGCAGAAGAGAAGTTGGAGCTAGTTAAATTACAAAAACTGTCGCTAAAAATGGAAATAGAGCATAAACAAAAAATTTATGAAATAGAGTTGGATAATTTAATGAAAAAAAAGGAATTTAATGAAGAAATGTATAAAAAAGAACTTTTACTTAAGGATTTAGAAATAAAAAAGAAACAATCAGAACTGTAATATTTTTGTTTTTATTTTTTTTTACAATGATGCAAAATATCCCTCTATTAGTAGTCTTCGTTGCAAATTAGCACTTCCTCTTCCAAACCGTTCCGGTGCAACATCATCATCCCTACCTTCCATAATAACAGGAAACTCTTGATCTTCAGGGGGTATGTTTTCCTTTCGTAATATAGCTAAATTATGCAGTACAGCTGTTGCTATGATTATGCCAGGTACTCTGTGAAGGTGAATACTTATACCCCTGGATAATATAGGGAATCTTCTCTTCCATATACCAAATGCCCGTTCAACCACATTCCTCGTCTTTATTTGTGACTCTTGGTAAAGTGTCTCTCCTCGTGTATTCACATTATTTTCTGACAGAGGTGTCATCATAAAGTTAGTTTGGGCATAGCCACTGTCACCTAACAACAATTTTTCATTATATTTGCCCTGCAAAAAATTGCGTTTTAAAGCACAGTTATCCCAAATGTTGGAATCATGTGCTGATCCATGCCACCTTGCCACAACATCTAAAAACATAAGGTTTGCAGCAGCTACACATTGGGTGTTTATTGAAAAATATCCTTTCCTATTTCTATATATTTCAGCGTTATCACCACCTGGAGATAATATTCTCACATGAGTGCAATCTAACGCACCAATTACTCTAGGGAACTTTGCAATTCTATAAAAACCATATGCTGTTTTATTTTGCTCTTCTGTTGTGCTTGGAAATTTTATATACATCTTATACAATAATGCAATAGCATGAGTAACACGATGCACTATTCTACAAGCTGTGCTTTCGTGTACACCAATCATGTCACCACAAGTTATTAGCTGACTTCCTGTCGCATAAAATCTCAGCGTACATAAAAGTTGGTTCATAGGAGTGACTGATTTGATCCTGCAAAACAAACAAATTAGTTAATTAGCTACCTACTTATCTATTTATTGAATATTCATTAATAATATATCCTTACTTGTTGCTGGTTATTAAATGTGGGGCTATTTGCTGTAACAAAATTATAGTGGTTTCTTTCGTTAGACGAAACCTTCTGAAGAATTTGTCGTCCGAATACATTCCAAATAAGTCTGCTCTCTCAAACAATTCCCTCGGTCTGTTGATATATTCTATTAGCTCCTCATCGTCGTCAGAATACAATTCCCACAAATCCATCTTACAAACTTCCCACCGAACTCTTTATATTCTTTTATAAAATAATAGAAAATTTCTATAACCTCAAAATGATGACGCGCGATTGCTACTAAACGTATTTAGCGACGCTAAATAGCCATCTTTGGGTATTTAACTTTGACAGTTCGTTAAACGTGATTAGTGCCTAAATTTTTGTTGTGCAAGACGCTAATTATATTTAGCAGACTAAATGCGTTTAAGTCGCTCTTAAACTGTATTTAACGACGATGCGCAAGCCGCCCTTAATGACCAAGAAGGTTAAAACTATGGTTAAATACAAAATTACCCAATTAATAAAAAATAAAAAATATTTTTTTTGCTGAACAAACAAACTATACTAGGTCCTGTAGCTTCAGAGATTGATATAACTCGTTACAAACATTACTAATAACTAAATATCAATATTATTTTTATTTTGGTAGGTACCTATATTGCTTCAGGATCAGGGTCAGTAAACGTGCGTTCACTTTCAGGTACCACTTTTAAAAGACTTATTGCCTCTTCTTCAAGATTTTTTACATTTCTTAAGTATGGTTTTCTTAAACTTGTTATATATGGATCTGACGTGCACAAAAGCATTTTAAAGACATCTTCATTTGTTGCAGACCGGGAACATTTTTTGGCATGATGAAGTCGCATGTTTCTGTAGTCTTTGTTGCGAGACTCTTGTGCGTCTTCCGACAGCTGTCCAATAGGATTATCTAATTATCTAGTAATTTCTCACGCATAACGAGTGCAAATTTGATAAGATTCCTTTGTTATCGCTAAATAAATAAAATATTCCAAAAGTAATATAATTATTGTCCTTGTAAACGGTGTCTGTGGTAAACCGCAAAAGATACTGATTTTTATTTTCCGACTTTTCACATATTATTTCTTATATTTTCTAAAACCGCAAACTTCCGCAGCTGTTTTTTTTGTATTCTGTTTCTGAATAGTTAGACTAACAATTAACATAAAAAGTTGCGCGTGGGGAGTCGTGGGTAATATTGAAAACCTTAGACGAAAAAAAAGAAAAGTAAAAAATAAGGTATGCCACTTTTTAATTACTTACTGACATAATTGTCACTGCTTTAGAAATTAAGAAGCTGTAACGTAATAAGCATGAAACAACCTTTCCAAAAATGTATAATACTGCATATATGTACCCAATATATATTGCACAATATGGTTTTGAAACATGTATATGCGTAGACTCGAGTTCGGCACTCCCGTCTTCTATGTATTTCTACCTATGAAAAAAATGTAACTTCGTGCATTTTCGATAAAAAAACTTAATGAATATTATAATTCGATTATTTGAGATCCTAATAAAATCACAAAATCAAACAAATTATGATATTCGTAAAAAGTACTTTTGATATGCTCTTGTTCTACCATTTTCCACTGTGCCGCGTCCCAATCTCGCGAGATGGCATTCCCTAGTTTAATATCAATTGATGAAATTCATTTTGTGGTACCCTAATGAGTAGTATTCAACGGGGTCCTTTCACTTTACCTACTCTAATATTAACATTTTGCTTCCAGATATTTAGAAGAGGCGATAATCAGCTTGAATACGTCGAACCCGACGACGCGCGCTCATTTACCCATGGTCGTCGGCGAAGTCCGTAAGCATCTGTCGACGTTCCTCGTGTCGTATCCGAAACATGTCGCCAGTCGACGGATAACGTTGATCGTTATGGCTGCAGACAACTTACTAAAATATTGTACCTAGATATATTAATTCTATGATAGTTTCAAATAAACTTATGAAATCTATAAACGAAGCTTTATTGTACTTTTGTTTAATGAATTCCCTAGCGAAAGTATTTTATAATGTAGTTTCTAAATAAATAAAAATATTATTTAAGAAGTAAAATTAAAGAAGTTAAATATTTCTCATAATTTTAGTATAGACAAGAATTCCTTTGCCTTTTTATTTCATGGCTAAGCTTTCTCATAGACTTCTAAGACAATAAATATGCTTTCTTGGTTTACATACACTATTGTATAAAAATCATAAATTTTGTTTAGCGCCAATCCTATGTAATTCTGTTGCCGCCATAGTAACAACTGCTATAAACGTAATAAAATATTTAAGGAGGCTCCTGTACAACAAATGTTTTTACGATACCAGCGACTCATTTTGATACATCGGCTCCTAAAGACACATAGAATAGTCCTTAGCTTACCCAGAAAATTGTGTAGCAATTTATATAGGATTATATTAAAACAACGTACATTGACTTGAAAATTATAATATAGTTTTGACTACCAGCATATCAAGAATCATCATTTTGTCTCATAAACATATTATATATAGGTATACAAAACTCTACTTAAGGTCTGGCAGTACAGCCAAGTTATTTCGCCTGGCACATGGACAAAACAAACAGTCATGTCTTTCTGTCACTTTGACGTTGACGTCGTGATTCGTGATACTATTTTTAAAAATAAATTATCAACAATAAATAATGTTATTTGTCTATTAAAGTGATTTGATTAAGCTTACAGATTAACTAATTGTTATAATACAATGAAATCTCGATATATTCTCCCGTTTTTACTGTTACTAAGTCACAATGTATTGTTGCATTGTGCTTCCGCTGCGGTTCACAGTCATAGCGTAGACAATAATTTAGAACGCGAATCCGATGGTAGCTACCGTTCAAGGGATTACGATCACTACAACGACGCCGGCCATAACTCAGAATTCGACCATGAAGCCATTTTAGGTGACCGGTTTTGTTAACAATCTTTGCTTATACGTGACGTTGCTCTCGTACCGGCGGTGCCACTACTATGCAGTGCTACGAGTGCTAGTCGTTGATAAGAAATGCGATAGGCCGCTCGGCGCGCTATGTCCGTCCGTTACGCCTTGATTTTTCTAGTCCCGTGTGTTTTAGTGTTAACATATTATTTTACAATAGGTAGCGTCAAAGAGGCAGAAGAATATGACAAACTTAGTCCTGAGGAGTCAGAACGACGGTTGTCGCTGTTGCTTGAGAAGATGGACCTCAATGGGGACCAGTATATTGATAGAAAAGAGCTCAAATTGTGGATCTTGAATTCCTTCATGTGGGTAAAAGTAATAGTATAAAATTATTAAAAGCATTTCCTGATATAGTCTTGTTTTCAGTTGGTGTATTATTTGTTTTATAAGTCACTGATAACGCCTGTTACAGTTTTTGTTTATACACACAGTTCACCTAGTTTTATAGGTACAAAAATATGAAGTAAGTAATTCTAGTGCAATAAAAAATATTATTGCACAATATATGTAACATTCTCCGTACTACAGTAACTTGTCTCGAGAAGAAGCTGAGGAGCGTATGTCGGAAGTGGACGACAACCGTGATGGAACAGTATCATGGCCTGAGTACCTGCAGGATGCATTTGGTGTTGATGCAGAGGAAGAGATAGGCCCTGAGGATACTGGAGACTCGGGAATGGTAGGGGTGCGAATTTCTTTTTTATTAAATAATTGATTCATATAAATTTAGAATTTCAGTGTTAACTTCCATGGTTATTAGAAATGCATGTTATTAGAATGATGTATTTGTTAGTTTTTTAGAATGATAATAATGAAAATTAGGTACTCAATTATATATGGTAGAAATATTATATTATGTTACTTACATTTTAGTTATTACAAGAAGAGAAAGAAATGTTCAAAGCTGCCGATATAAATGGAGATGGATCACTGGACCTATTTGAATTTGAAGTAAGCTCAATGTTCATTATTTCATTATTTTATTACAATAAATGTGTGCTAGCTAGCTAAGCTATAAATAAACTGTTACAACATAGTATGGAACGCACAACATGCAAGTCACATGTTTTTATATGAAAAAACAATGAATAATTTATGTATATCAAAGGTAAAAAAAATAATGAAGGTCACACGGCATCTTCAAACTGGTTTATTTTCATCGTCATACTGATGTTACTTATATTCTATGCTTACTAAGGCCACTAAATTTATGTTTTGTTCTATTAAATCATCTTTAATAAGCATACAAAAATGTAATATCCAAAAATCAATATCCTTGTTACACTGCAGTGGTTAGAAGAATTAATTCATGTTGTATTGCATGTAATATATTAGATACATTTTGCACTAACATTGCTGCATTGGTGATTATCTTAAAAAAAATATCAGACCAAGCGCATAACATAAGATTCGAACCCATACTCTAGTAGTAATTTTGTGGTATATTGTAATAACGAATAATTCACTAAAGATCATAAACAAAAGTACCAAGAGTTTTAATTGGCGATATGTTGGAAGATATTATAATGAACTGGTTTATGTTGAAGTTAAAGCTTGTTAAAGATATGCCATTTACTTACTTTAAGGGTTATAATCGCAGTGAGCGAGCGGCGAGACGGGCTCGTTGACCTATAAACTCGTTTGAAAAAAACAACTGTTAAATAACTTGATATCATATTATTCAATGGAATTACAATAACTCTTAGAGTTATCTTTCAATGGGTATTTCATACACGGTAGCTGCGGACTAATGACTGAATATTAAAAAAATACAACTGTTTTCCCGCGATTTCACCCTCGTAAATTATAGGCTCTGACACCCACATGATGTGTCAGAGCCTATAATTTACGAGGGTGAAATCGCGTGAATCTTTCCTCTTTATAATGTAAGCATGATATCCTAACAGAAGCCATTGAATGTAGCTAGGGATATCATCCGTTTGTCGTCCTTTGGTCAAATTCATATGTAAAGAAATTACACAATTCGACGGGTCAATGCATATCTAACGGAAGATGCGTCGCGTCTTGTCCGTCGTGAAATGTCATAACTGACAAATATATAATATTACATTCAACCTTGCACACTCAACGGAAATTCCGTCGCGTACTGATACATACTTTCGTGAGACGCTTGATGAATCTTCCGTCAGATTAGCACCGACCTAACAATCAACAGATATAATTGGATTTTGCATCCTGGCTTTTGAAGGCAGTGTTTTTAAAGTCTTTATCCGCAATATTGTAAGTATTTTGTATTTATATAATTAATTTCAAGTATTTTGTTGTGTTGTGCAGGTGTTCACGAACCCCGAGGAGCACGCGCCGATGCATCCGTACCTGGTGAACCAAACGCTGCGTGAGAAGGACCGCAACAATGACGGCAAGATAGACTTCGACGAGTATGTCGGCGACCGTGGTGAGCGTCTAACATTTATAACTGTATATATACATGTTTAAGGCAAATAAAAAATTATTATTATTATTATAAAAAAATCACGTTTTTCGTATGGGAATTTATATGAAATTTTATAAAATCCCAAAAAAACAACTGTTCTGTTTTTAGTATTCATGTAATATTAAAAAATTTAAATCGTAGGTGTATTAAATAAACCTACTTTATTCAAATCAAAATCAAACAAATTATAATTAATTAATGATTTTGAGTAAATAAAATATACAATCCCAACTTAGTCGATTAATCAGTCAAGTTCCAGACGATTGTATGTTTTTAAACACTAGTGTACAACGTTAATCACTCCGGTGGCACCATGCAAAGTTCAATAACAGTCTATAATTGTAGTTCGATATGTAAACGCACGCGTTTGATTCATTATAGAATAATGCCGACGGACGGTACGCATAGATATAATACCTGGAATGCGTTTTATTCAAAATGTAACACGTGCTTGATGTTGACTGCGACACGCTATAGGACTCAAAAGATACTTCGAGAAGCTATAGATATGAGAATAACATGTAATTTACGATTGATAAAGTTATATCTACATATCTAGAAAAATTGACAATTCTGTGTAGCCAAGTCGCTAAATGCGATTCACGATCGAGTGGATATGGGATAATAGTTATTTAAGTTACGAGTGCGGAAAGTAATTCGTGCCAAATTGGCCCTTATTCGTAAAACCTTTTACGCTCAAGTTTCTTACAACATTTTTCAATGCTTTTTGCCAGGAAATAAAACAAATGTAAATTAAACGTGATATTTGAACATGTTTTCGTGTCATACATTTTTATTTGAAAATGTTCGTTCTAGGCTCCTTGAAATACTTTTGCCTCTAAAGTTTGACATATTTTCATCAATTTTTTTTTTAATTTCTTTGGTGCTCGGCCAAAAAAAATTAAAAAAATACTTTTAAGCACGTGTGCAGTAAAGGATTTCATTTGACTCACTTTCGGTTTTTACAATGGATTAAAAAATAGCGCTGTATGAGCAACTGCATTGAAAAATATATTTAGAGATAATCAATATAATGGTGGATTTCGATTTATAATGTAACGTTTATAGTTTTCCGATTTCTATCAAAGTCGCATTCGTTTTCGATTTTGCTGTTTTTGTTTAATAATATAAATGGTATATAGTTTTGAACAACTTTATAAATACAACTAACCTTTTCTGGTTCATGAACCTGGGACCTGGGAAATCAAGCAGGCGCTTTCTCAAGGGACCTCTATAAGAAAGGAATATATTTCGGACCATATCTTTGTATTACAAAAAAATGCTTTAATGGACCCTGTACTGAGAAGAACCGGCGAGAAATTCGGCAAGGGCTGCTTTTATCGTCGTGTTTTATTTTACACAGAGAAGTCTTATTGAAAAATGAATTTATTAGACTATGAAGTCACTTTCCATTGCAATATCTGAAATAAACAAGACAGATATTTTCGACTAGTAATTAATATGCCGGTTGCCGAGTCATTAATAAATTAACATACTCATTAACAAATTGATATACAGTATTCATAATAAAAGATAATGGACGAAATTATGTAGTGCAAAGCGGACTCATTCCCACTGGCAGCACTCGTTTACGAGCATGACGCATGAGCCAACCATCGCTTCGCTCAACCATTTTTTAGGGAACGTAACGACCCGCCCCGGGGTTTAGACAACTTCTTTAATATTTATTTTTTAAGATATACATGAACTGTATTATAAAAAATTTCATTGATATAATAAGTTAAAATCTAAAAAAAAAAAAAAACAAAAACAAAGTTTCCCGCGAAAACGTCACTTGTATCATGGCGTCGCTATGACATTACCATTTTACCAAGAAAACACTTGTCCAGGTAGGTAAAATTTAATTTCAACAAAATTCAAAATTTAACTTGGGCTTTCACTACCAACATACAAAAAGCAGAGTTTATAATATACTAAAATCTATACTAACATTCTAAAGCTGAAGAGTTTGTTTGTGTGTTTGAACGCGCTAATCTCAGGAACTACTGGTTCGAATTGAAAAAATATTTTTGTGTTGAATAGACCATTTATCGAGGAAGGCTTTAGGCTATATAACATCACGCTGCAACTATTAGGAGCGAAGAAATAATGGAAAACGCGGACGGAGTCGCTGGCGACCACTAGTATGAAATAAACTGAGCGAAACACTGGATTCTGGCGAAGTCCACAAGGGCAACGCCATTTATTAAAAAGAAGAAGAGTAAATTTTTATGAACTATATTTTATATAGGTAAATTTTTTAAATCATCGATTATGCCGCTGCGTGATATTGTATGAAACATTCTAATTTTATTACCTTTTCAATAACATTATCAGATAAAATTTATCACATCATAAAAAAATATTTAACCGTATACGATTGAGCGAGATGAGACTATAATTTCTACTAGAGCGTGAATTAACCTTTGTCTACGAACTTGTTTCTGTGGCGTCGATTTAATCAACTGATTATGTAATTGGCGCGTTCATTACTCGTCTCATAATAACAGAAATTAAAATGTTTGTTTATGTTTTTTTTATAGTGTTATGTATGAGTGTTACTGTATAATTCAGTTAGTTCAATGCATTGCGTGCGTTTTCACTTTGAAAACAATGCGAATGATTATGATAATCTGTTGGATAAATAACTAGGTCCTTATTCTTCGTTTTCTTCAAACCGGTGCAAACACTTCATCGGTGGTTTCCTGCCTCTAACATTTGAAATTAATTTTTGAAAACCTCTCACATGTTTATTGAGGTGGGACTCGAACCTTTCGCAAACAGGGCGACTGCTCCCGTGCAGTATAAAGATACTCATCAGATAGCATTGTCAATGTACAATAATGTGAAAAATATAAACTTACAGTACGCATGCTTAAACTGCCGCCCGAGGCATTTGTGATTTGGTACTCTAATATCTTAATCTTATGATGGAAATGGGTGGCGCAATGGAAAACTGGTAGAATTGCTCAGTCTTGATTTTATTTGCAATTGATATAACATTAATTCACATACGAGATACTATGATACTCGGTATGCCGGTCTCGATTAGAAAGAAAGATTGTCAACCAGCAAAACACAAACACGTGAATTCCGTAATGTGCACGGACGTTACCGTGCTAATAATTTTATTAATTTAATAAATAAAAATAATTATCGGCATATTAATTTCAATTTCCATTATTTATTTATATATTTTTCGAATTCGTAAATTGGTATTTTTTAAATCATAGAAATGGATTTCAATGCGGGATTTTGTTAGGATGGAAATTTTTGAGAAAGATTTATTACCCGTGCGGAGCTTTTTATTTTTTCTTTACATTTTCGTATTGTTTATATAATACATATTACTAGTTCGATTCGAAACTATAGGTGCTATAGTTTAGAATCAAACTAGTATTATATATAATTCCGGTAAAATGGTAGATATACCTAATCTCCAATTTATTCAAATTCTGAGCCCGAAAATTATAACTATAAATTACCTAAATATTTAATTTGTAATATGTATCTGTTTAGGTTCACACGAGGATAAGGCATGGATGATCTCGGAACGGGACAAGTTCGACCACGAACTCGACCTGGACGGGGACGGGTCGCTCGATCTCATGGAGATTGAGAAATGGGTCATACCTGATAACGAGTGAGTAGTATTAACAGTGAATTATGCAACCATGTAAATAGAATGTAGGTAACCAGATCAGCATGCATCATTGCGTTTCGTACTCATCATTGGGTAAACTAGTATGCTGTGGCGCTAGTGTACCCGTACTCTTGATTGGGTACACTTGCATGTAGGGGCTTTCCATTCCACGTGGCTCATGGCTCAACCCTTCTAGTTGATTCGATTCTATCCATAGGCTGGCAGACCTTATTGTCGTTACAAATAATTCCTAGTGTAATAGTAAAGTAAAATGCAATAAAACCTAATTTTCACCAGGTTGTTTAATATTTAATACACATGAACCCTCGCTATTAATGAATATATAGTACCTTATTAAGTTAACTTGTTCAGTTGTCATAATACAATTATTATTTAAGTTTATTGATACTTTATTATTTAAGTATTATTATTATTTAAGTTTATTGATAATATTTCAGTAATAATATAAAGAAATCTTTATATTATTACTGAAATATTTTAAAAAATGTGGTGCTAAATTTTCGGATTTTCTATGTTATATATAACATACAATTTAACTAATTTAACTACTTTGAGAATTGTCATATTTATTTGTATATTATGACCTAAATGCGATAGTTCAATCGATCAGTTCATTGACATGTCCCATCACTAAAACTGTCACGTCGCCATATTAGCTTACATCTTTCTTCACTTGAAATGGAAAGGGAGAGACTTCTCAAATTTTACAAGAGTGTTCAGTGATCCAAACCGTGTCCGTATCACGCATATGTGCAGCGAGATCGCGGAGGAGGAGGTGGAGCACCTGGTGGCGACCGCGGACGAGGACCGCGACGGCGCGCTCTCGTTCGCGGAGGTGCTGCGCCACCGCCATGTGTTCGTGGGCAGCGACCAGCGGCACGCGCTCGGGGAACACTTCGACGACGAGCTGTAGCCCCACACAGTCGCCACTCGCATCGCCATAGTATATATTAACATGTATTCATTTATTTATGCGAGCGCAATTTTGGTTGTCCAATAATTTTGTTGTAATGTATCTATTACGCTTTTCTTCATTGCCCCGACGTTGTTGAGGTCGCATAACCGCCAGCTACGACACGGTTTTTACTATGTTCCAGGTGTCCCGATTTACGCGGGACGTCCCGATTTTCAGGGGTCCGCGGACGCGTCCCGATTTGTACCTAATCGGGACGCTAAATGTCCCGAAAAATCAAGTATTCTTATAAAAAAAATTTTTTTTTTTTATTCTGTCAAATCCATTTTTGAAAGCTCCTAACTATATTTATCTATGTCTGAAAGCGAAAAAGCTACCAAACTAGTACTTGTTTTTTTGTCTGTCCCGATTTACAACCCCAAATCCCGATTAATTACACGCGCTGTCCCGATTAATAATAAATTGGACCTGGCAACACTAACCACATGTGTGATTGTCACGACGCATTGTGAAATATATTTTTTTTTGGGCGTAATGTTGAGAATAGTTTAAATATCAAAGTTACTGTTTTACTAAAATTAGACTAAAATTTCAGTTGTGGCCGATGAAAATATTGTGTTCTATTGTAATAAAATAAATGGAGGACAGTTTAGAGTTACTATTGTAATCTCTTAATAATTTCCGAACATCTCCATTAGCATAAAATATCATTAGATATTTTTCATTTTTATCATGATTTATGCTTTGATACAAATAATTGTGAAAGTATATTAAAAGTACTGTACTTAACTGATATAATTATGTATATTGATTACGGTTAGGTCTTCACATTAGGACTGGATCGTAAAGTTACGGGTCAATTTACCTATACACTAAATTAATCTCATAAAGTTATAGCTTTATAGAAAGCAATATATAAGCTTTATAGAAAGAATATTTTTTTCCAATAAATTGATAAATTATATGGAATTTCGATTATCTAATATAAAAACTTAACATATAATAGTTTCCAGAAGGCTTCAATTTTTCTTATTTACAGAGAAATATAACAACAATCATGTCAAACTATTCGACTATTAATTTTAAATAGGTATGAATTTATGATTAGGATTATTATATATATCTTAGTAATACTATCTACTTACATTATAAAAATAATATAATTTAATGAGTTGCCTAGATAGAGACTAGTCATATACTTCGTGTTTTAATCTCAATTGTAACTTACTATATGAGTGAATGAAAAAGTATGTTTAACTTTATATGCTTATTTCATGATAATACAGTACTTATGTAAAGTGGAACTGTGGTTATAAATTATATTGATGTAACCTGTGCAGAGATTTATATTTGGAAGTCGTTTGTTGTTCTATGAGTGAAACCTTAACGTAACATATTAAAATATTTATAATTAGTTTTAGATCTCTGCGTAGTCAAATTTTCCTTATAAAAATGGTAATACTGTACCTGGATTTGTTTCGGTCGAATCTCAATATATCTTTCAACTTATCTTTGACAGAAGCTTATTTCATTAAAATTAAATTGATATTGAGAGTTCAATTTCAATCATACCACATGAAATTCATAAAATAAATATTTCAGAAGGAACTTTTATTACTTCCTACCCATGCTAGTATAGTCCAGACCCATTTTTATCAAAAATAAGTGATTTTGCGGCCTGGTGCCAAATAAAACAAATAAAATCATGCCTTTACAAATCATATTCATAGACGTAGATGCCGAATTTTATAACTCCAACATTAAGTAGCAATATAATGTTGTAATAGAGACCAAGTACTTCCCACACTATTAGTATTTACATAAACGTATGTACATACAGCACCACAATATCAAAAGACTAAAACTTATTGAAATTTGGAGTTTTTTTAGCAGCCTGACATGCTGTTAACTGAACCTGTACATAATATTGTATAATGTAGTGTTCCTGGTGCCATAATGATGGTGTACTTATAGCAGCGACCAAATATGTACGTGCGTTGGGTGCGCTACTCGATGACGTCATTAAATAAAGTATTTGTAATAATCAAGCATCTTTTATTTATTTAATTAACATGTCACCGACCTGGGCACATCAGGTTTTAGTGCTTTGGGCTAACCACGAAAGCAGGGAAATTCCGAAAACGATGAATAACCACCAAATCGGGCACTGGTTTTTTTTATCAATTGTTAATAAAGTTGGCAATTAAAAAATCTTTTAATAGATAAAAATACTTTAAATTTTTCGGAATTTCCCCCCATTCGTGATTACGCCAAAGCACCTTACTAAACATATTACATTTCTGCAATCTATTTTGAATCCTAATTTCAACATGGTAAGGTTTAAGGACACGTGGAGGACCATGGTCCATCTTCCTACTCGCTTCCGCAATCCTCAGGGAAGGCCTGTGCCCCAGCATTGGGGTCATAGTTATTTTTTTATTTATTATTATTATTTATATATTTTTAATCAAACATTTTGATTTTTCGTATCGAGATAACTTTGTTTGTCTAAATTCGAGACTTTAGAAATTTAGTCTTACTTTAATAATTTAGTTAACTAAAACAACCAAAAGCAAAATTGCTATCCTGTTCCTTCCTAGTAAACTTCCATAATTAAGAATCTTCACCATCATTGAAAAAATCTCTACCAGATTTCAAGTTATATATGAATGTAATCATTATTTATAAATAGAACTGGTTTAATTTGTTTAACCTTTAATTTGTTTCGTAATACGTGACGATCGCCATTCAAAGCAATACTTTTAGGCCTTGATGCGCGCGCCCTCTGGGTACTGTGGCGACTTAGGGCAACTTAGTCTAATGGTGGAGGTGGGTGGCGCAATGAAAAAACTGGTAGAACTCCTTAGTCTTGATTTATTTCTGATAAAAATTACAGTTAAGCACTTACAATAATTATACTACGATGCTCACCCTAAGCTGGTCTCGATCAGAAAAGAAAGACTATTCACCAGCAAAACACGAACACGCGAATTCGAATATAGAAAAAGTAATAATTTAAAATATTAACGGCCAGCACTTGACCATAAACCGTCCGAAGAGTAAACCCTACCTATAGTAATGTGCTCGGACGTTACATGCCCGGGCTCCCTAAAAAAAATTATTAGAGCGTGTGAAGACGCTCGAATAATTTTTACAGAAGTCTAAACCCTAAGTCCTACCTGCTTGAGGAACTTAGAGGAGGCGGTTTTTACTAATAAACCAGCTCCTGCAATGAAACTCCAATTTACTACTTTATTGTTCAGACTTCTTAAGGAATTCTTCACATTGCAGAAACTCTACAAGTGCAAAACCTCAATAAAAGCACCTGTACGTCTCCCAAATGACTACAATCATCAAAACCCTAAGTTTGATATTGGATGACGTCAAAACCCAAACACGACAAACTTTATTTTAAATACAGCTATCATATGATATTCCCGATTCCCGTAGCTAAAATCAAGCAAAATCGAATCAATTACAGTTAAATATCCGACCCAAAATAATAAACAAACGGATATGGCCAATGACAATGTGTATATCTTATAAGCATCCATGATAAATCATTGACACCCATGAGACAACAAACTGACATATGGAGCCTAAGGACGTCCAGCATCAAACAAGACGAAACCCAATTCCTATGGAACCAGATGGGTTCCCCGACCCTCGCAATGCCCATTGTATAAACACTACGCGCGATACAATAATAATGACGACGCGCACATGAAGTGGGTGTCTGTCGACTTATCAACAGAGATGCTTCATAGTAGGCCCTCCGTATTTCTGACGTCAGGATACGCGCCAGCTTCATCATGCTCTTACGGGAATCCGGCAGATGAAGTATGAACATGAAACAATTAAACAGTATTAACAAACATCCTTGGAAAATTTATAATAAATAAACAATTAAACAAATATTTCACATGACAATATATATTAAAACATATTGGATTAATATTATTATTCGAAATTAGCTCACTATCAACTAAACTTGAACAAGGAATCGAACCTGTCATAGTTCCTAAATAAAAGAAAATAAATTAAAATTACAACTTCAATATTATCATTACATGACTTAGAAAACTTAAAAATTCATATTACTTTAAATATCTATCACCTAACTTATAATCACAAATAAGAATTATTATTATAATAATGAAAATACATTAACCTAATACCTACTTCCTCGAATTCTAAATGGTTTAATTCTATTAGCATGAACTACCTCTATCCTATAATTTCCTATTCTTATTATAATATTATTATTATCAATTGGTCGTATTATCTGATAAGGAAATCTGTCTTTATATTTGTCTACATTCAACCTATTCAACCTAACCTTAATAAGGTCAGTCTTTTTCTTACGACAATTTAAGAAATGTATCCTATCTTTTCTATTGTGAAAACTTTTCTGAAAAGAAAACGATTTAAATGCGTTTTGTCTATAGCTCCTCATATAAAAATTGACATTTCTATCTCTAATGTCATGTGATGATTTCACATTTCGATCTAAATTGCTATTATAAAAAATTAATGTTTTTCTAAAGATCTTATGTTGTTCATGAAGTTTTCTATGAACAAAATTCTTATTATTTCTATTTTCTCTCTTTAAAGAAGACCTATCTTTTAAAACTAAATTCTTATTATTATTATTATTATCCTTGAACGACTTAAGAGAAATATTAATATTAGGATTTTCTTTATTTGCTTTCACTACACGTGACTCATGCAAATATTTATCATTTTCTTTATAAGAATATAAATAATTATTAGAGACATCGACAACATTATCATCTTTTATCAATTCAGACTTTTTCAAAAATTGACATACAATGTGTTTGACAAATAATTGATGCCTACTAAAATCTATGACAACATTATGAGAGAATAGAAAATCTTGTCCTATTATAATGTCTCGATCAATATTTTTCACAACATAAAAATCATGAATAAACAAGACATGTTCAATAATAATCTTCAAATTGACTTTACCGATTACTTCGAGATTCACATTATTCACTGCCCGAAGTGACATATCACATGGCACAATATCGTGACGGAGTTCATACGCGGCACGATCCGAAATGACCGAAATGACGCACCAGTATCAATGAGTGAAATAAATTCTCTATCACG